TACAAGAATATCTACTACAAGTAAATCACTAAAATTTAAGTTATTTAAATCATATTTATACGAGGCAAAATTTGATTTAACCGCAAGAAGGACACCACCACCACGTTGACAATGAACATCTGAATATTTTCTGTCACTCCTATAGATTGTGTAATTATTATTAGAAATTTCTGAATTATGGACAGAGTCGTTTAAAAAAGTTTCAGAAAAAGCAATTATGTCATAATGGCAGCTAGCCAATGCATTATATATTTCCGGGAGTTTGGTGTTTAAACACCTAACATTTTGGTAATAAACAACTGGAGTAGGGGAATCACGCATTGAATTATTGGTGTTCATGTCACACGAGTAGCGGGGTATTGTTGGACTATCAGGGAGGAAAAGAGGACAAACATTTGATTGCTATATGGAAAGTCCAAACAAATCTTGTTTGACTTTTTGAATGACCATCTTGTACGAATGACATTTGTCATGATCCCAAGCTGCGTGATTAATATTAACGTCATGATTATTATTTTTGAGATTGAAGTTGTAACAATTGACACATTTAAAAGCTTCAACATCTGCCTGGCATTCCTTCAAATTATGACGATCACCACACCGAGGACAAGAAGAAGAATTTTTACAAAATTTGTGTGAATGACCATAGCTGTTACAATTAAAACATCTGGAAACATCAATAGCATCGTATATAGTACAACCATTGAGACCAATAAGGCAGTGTCCCAATGTTAGTGCCCTTTTATATGTCAACAAATCCACTTCAAAAACAGCTTGAAAAATGGTATTATTTTTTTTAACCGGGCCATATTTTAACAAAGTACAAATTGATTTTTCGTCAAAAATTGATTCATTTTGTTTTCTCATATATAAGACAATGTCTTCTTTTTTTATGTAGTCAGGAATACCTGTAATTCTAATTCTTGGGCCAATAGTCTTGACTTCACGAATATCATACTGGTCTGACAGGTTATTCATGGCGCTTTGTTTAAAGTTACTAGAACTGTCACACTGCAGGAGCACACCACCATCTTTTAGATTTTTCACTTTCCCAATATTGATGTCCGTAAGAGGATCAACATTTTTTAAAACGTCTGATTTAGTTTTAGCAATTGACTGATTTTTCTGATTTTCACCTTTTGGCTTAACTATAATAGTTTTCTGAGAGTTTTTTATTAAAGTTTGGGCATAAGAAGTTTTAGCGTGCATTTCATCAGCATCAGCTGACATTATCTGATCACAAGGTTTAGAGGCGGGTAAGCATTTTTTTAAAATGATTATTTCATTACGCAATTTTGAATTTTCAAGAGATAAATTATTAACTGATTTTTCTAACATCGAAATAGTATCAGTTAATGGTTTTAATTGGTTTCCAATGATTGATTCGATCATTTTCAAAGAATGAGGAGACAAATTAAGTTCAGAAGCTAAAGGAATGGATTGAGTATGAGAAGCAGCAGACGCAGAGGCAGAAAGTGAACAAAAAGCACACAACCAGGATGTTAATTTTCTTTCCATTTGAAGCTGATTGTAAGCATCATCATCAATGTTAACACATTCATTGTGAAAATTCGATTTACAGACATTACAGGACAAATAGTTCTGACTTCTAGTTACGGTGCTATTGCATTTACTGCATTTTATAGCCATTTTCGACACTCGCAAGTGCTGAAATCACACTGCGGCCAGTTTGGGGTCAAGTAGAAGATAAGCAAATTCTGCCAAAAAAGTCGACGGTAAGAAAAACGAATGATAACGAATTCAATCAAAATGTAAAAGTCGGAAGGAAACATGGAATATGTTTCCTTCGACAAAAATTAACAAACCAATCTATTCGTCAGTATATATAATTATTCAGATTTACGAGAGGCTCAAATCAATATGGAATAAACTCACCTAAATGAATCGAATGTACGGAGCGACAAAATGCACGTCTACACTCTGCTAGCACACGAAACGAAATTTTTTTTTTTCATTGTCCCAATATACCTACTTAGGTACAGGGCATGGTAGAAGAAGACATGGTATAGGCATACGCATCTGGTGTGACGTCAAGTGGGGTGAAATTAGCGCGAAATTTAAAATACAATTCGTTATCCGACAACTAATTGACGTATTGGACAGAGCAATGACAACTCAAGCTGAAATTCCCTAGACTTCCCTAGCGAAGCTCACAAGAGTCACAAGGTCGTTGATGCCACCTAACGTCACAAATGGATGCGCAGACCATTTTTAAATTGGTACATCGGATGCCTATACCATGTCTCCTTCTACCATGGTACAGGGTCATTATAAATGTTTCTTCATCACGTAATTTTATTAAATAATTGGTTTACCATCGTTTCTTAATTAATTCATTTCTCACAAATATTTCATTTAAAAACCAAAAGATTATTTGAATAATAAACAATGCGCCCCTCTTTCTATCCTCTCTACTCCACCCCTATGCTCCTGCGCGCAAGTGCAGTCACAGAACTGCCGCAGAAGAACGGCGCAACTTTCCAGTTAGGCCCGGTATTTCAGTTATTTTAAGCAGTAATAGATGTGTTCTCAATTATTACAATTAGAAGTAAATTATCCAGATGTTAATAATAGTAAGTTTTAATACAAGTGTCTGTCTTTTAATGTATAAATATTTTAGAGGAATTGCCTGTCTGCATTGGATGTGTGTTTGAAATCCAGCCAGACCAGGCCAAGGGTGGTTTTTTGCGCACGTGCTTTGCAGAGGTTACAAGAAATCTCCATCCCTCTTGCGTTTGGCGAGTTTTTTACAAAAGAAAGGACCGAACATCTGATTATTTTGAAAAAGGTAGCCAAAGCAAGAAACCAATCTATCCATTACCAGAAAGTGATGAACAATTGAAAAAATTGTTTGATGATATATCCAAAATCAGTGCTTTTGTTGGAGTGAAGGTACTGCAAAAGCAGTACACTGATAATAGAGAGTTTGCAGTAGTGGACTATAGTCCGATATTCTGCTCTTGTCCAGTACCGGATTTTAAATTGGCCATAGAGCCACCTGGTATGTCGTCGATTTCAGAGGTGACAATGGAATTATGCAGCATGAAATTATAAATTAAGTAAATTAAAATTTTTGATTGTTAATTTAATAGGAGCAGTTGGGATTATAATGTGATTTATATTAATAAAGTAAAAGTATTATATGTGTGATTTTTTTTTGTTCACTTGGAAAAATTTATGTCCATAAATTTAAAGGAGAATGTTATTACAATTCAATTTAAAATAATCAAGTTTTTTAACTTATTCTTGATAAAGAATTTGAATTGTTAAAAAATTATCTCATGAAGAACAAACGATAGCAGTCTAATATGTGTAATGTTCTATCTAACTCAGATTATTATGCGAAGTTTTGTTAGTCATTTTCTATGCATTTTTTTTTTTTTTCAACAAAAACCACAGATTCAGTTGTTACGTCTGACTCACATTTTTAAGAAATCGTAAAAACAGGGTAGTTTTCTTTATTTTTAGCATAAAAATCTGGCTCACATTTTTAAAAAGACTAAAAAATGGGGTAGTTTCCATAAAAAATTGATGTTTCAGTAGATAAAATGAGCTTAAAAACAAGTCATTTTCTCTATTTTTCGTGTTTTTGAACCGACTTCAATGGGCTGTTTTTCCAAACTCAACAAACTTCAACGACAAAACTTGAAAATCGACTCATTTTCCTAAAAAAATTGATGATTTGGGAAAATCTGAGTTAGAACTTAGGATTAAAAATCAGGGTAAAAAGTCAAATTCAATGTTATTTTTTGATGTTTTGCTAGAAATACGGGTTTTTGTTGAAAAAAATGCATAGAAAATAGGAAAAGGACTAAGAAAACTAGGCATAATAATCTGAGTTAGAATATATCATATATTTAACTACTTATATTGTTTCAACATATAGTGTATTAACTTAAAAAAAATGTATGTTTGAATAAAAAATAAGTACCTTCAACTTTTAACATTTTTAAAAACAAGGGAAAGTCTGAAAAATATTAATTTTAAAATATACTTGAAAAGGTAAAATCTCTAATTTTGAGTGTTTTTGAAAGGGAAATTCGCTTCGCTCATGAGGACTTTGACCGAAATTTGTTTGAACGAAACCGTATTCACTTTTGTTCTGAAGTAGCCCAACAGAAAAAACGGTAAAAAGACGAATTTTAAGTGTTTTTGAAAGAGAAATTTGTTTGGACCAAGCTGTATTCTTGTTTGAAAAAACGGTGTATTTTCCTTGAAATGTTGGCTTTTTTTGAAAAGGCTGCGACGCTTGTCACTTTTTTGATATATTACCGAATGTAAAAAAGATACGGAGAATAGGATTATTATTATTATTATTATTATTTAGCCATCCTAACAGATAAACCATTTATAAGGATGGGAAAGAATTAAGAAAAAAAAAAAAAGAGAGAAAATTAATTCAAAATTATACACAGTCGCAATGAAAATGTAATTTGCATGCTTTACATGATAAATGATTTTCAGCCCGAGTGATAGTAACAAACGTAGTGCTGATAAATCACACTATCCCCCCTACAGGGTCAGATAGCGATAGGAGTGTATTCGAAAAAACTGTTAATAAAAATCAAGGTAATATGAAGAAAATTAGTAAAATAAAGATTTTCGAGTATAGGTCACTCACCGACCCCACCTAAGGGGGTGTCGACGTACTATGCTAAGTATCACTCAGTTCACCAATTTCCTTAAAAAACTTTAGCAGAAATCTCAGGAAATAAAGGAATTAAATGTAGCACCGTCACCGCACAAGTTAACGACACGACAATTAGGTTAGAATATCTCTGCTACTAGTTCTTAAAATGTCGGTGTATAAAAATTCAAATAATACTTTAGATTAATTTATTTTCCTTAATATTCTTAAAATATGAAATGAAATGAAATGTAATCACTGAGCCACATTTTAACTTCTTCACAGGTTTTCCCATACCACATTCTTATCATATGCATCATCGAACATCCGTAGAAAAATATCCTTGAAAGTTAGCAAAGTGTGTGAATTTCAAATTGGTTTAACGTGTGCAAATATTTATTTAACGTACAAAAATTTAGTGTAAGACCACAAATATACTGTGTGTAAATCTGAAGTAAGAAAATTTATTTTGTTGTAGGTTCACAATAATTTGAAAATATCGCCCCATATTGTTACACTGGTTAGGATTTATTATTTGTACAGAAATTCTACACTCTGTATGTTGTGACTTTGCCTGGGAGGAATGGAACCAGTAAGTGAATAATTCTACTTTTTTTTTCCAAAATCAAATTTTATAAATTTTTGAAAACGCTTGATGTTTGATTGAACTTTAGGGGCGAGTATCACTTTCCGATTTTTGTTTTTAAATTGTATAACAACATTTTGCAATTGCAACTTTTTAAGGTTATCGTAATCGTAGTAGGAAATCGTTAATCAAAATTTATATACAGGGTAGATTTTTTTATTTGAGAATGCAGTCGCAAAAAAGTTGATGACGTCATCACAAAATCGTAATGAATACATACATTCCTTTATTTTGACTTACATAGGTTATCATTAAAATGTAAAAATTTGCAAAATCAATTCTTATAATTTTTCGAAAAAGTTGGATCTATTCTACCGCACTTAAGGAGCGAGGGAAGTTCTGTCGAAATAACCTTCGATTAATTTTATTTTAACTATATCGGAGAGCTTTGTATTTTATTTTTGAAAGATTTAAAACAAATCTGGGGCCTCCTGTTATGTTGCTATTGAAAAATTTTAAAAAAGTCTGGATGTCAGCCAAAGAAACTATATCGACTTCTGAGACAATGAAACCTTCACTGAATTTTTTATGGCGTCAGGGCGCTCAAAAATTCTGAAATCTCCAAATCTTCGAAATCCTTAAATCCTCGAAATCCTCAAGTCAAAGTAATTCTCAAATCTTCGCAATTCTTGAGATGCTTAAATCCTCTAAATCACATCACCGAATTCTTAATTGTTCGCAACCCTCAAATCCTCTAAATTTTCAAATCACCAAATCCTCAAGTCTTCAAATATTCGCAATTTTTCGCAATACTTAAAGTCGTCGAAATCTTCAAATTACCAAATTTTCAAATCTTCAGACTCTCAAAATTCTCAAATCCTCAAATTCTTAGTGTGCTCAGATCCCCGAAATCTTTAACTCCTCGAAATCTTCGAAGTCCTTGAAATGCTCAAATCCTCTAAATCATATATTACCAAATCTTCAAATCCTCGCATTCTTCAAATTTTCTAAATCTTCATATCATCGAAATACTCAACTCTTTGAAGTCTTTAAATCCTCGAAATCCTCAAGTTATAGAAACGCTCAAATCCTCTAAATCCTCAAATCTTCAAATACTCCAAATTCCCAAGTTGTCAAATCCTCAAATCGTCTAAATTCTCTTATCACCAAAACTTTAAATCCTCAAATCCACAGAGTGCTGAAATCACCAAATTCTCGAAATCCTCAAATTATCAAATCCTGATACACTTGAAATCCTCGAAATACTCAAATCCTCTCAAATTTCAAATCCTCGAAATTCTCAAATCACCAAATTTTCCAACCTCCAATTTTTTTAAATCTTCGTAATTCTTAAAACCTCGAATTCCTCAAATCCTCGCAATATTCAAATTTTCAAACCTTCAATTTTTGGAAATCTTCGTAATTCGTACATCCTCGAATCCTTCAGATTCTCGAAATCCTCAAATCCACGAAATCCTTTAAATTCTCATATCACCAAATCCTCAAATCCTCAAATCTTCAAATCCTCCAATGCACGAAGTCCTATAACAAAATTCTCAAATCAACGAAATTCTCAAATTATCAAATCCTGAAATCCTCGATAACCTAAGGTCCGAGAAATGTTCAATTGTTTAAAGTTCTTGAAATGCTCAAATCCTCTAAATCATATCACCAAATCCTCAAATCGTGGTATTCCTTAAATCATCTAAAACCTCAAATCTACAAATCCTCAAATGTTCAAATACTCCAAATTCCCAAGTTGTCAAATCCTCAAATCCTCTAAATTCTCTTATCACCAAAACTTTAAATCCTCAAATCCACAGAGTCCTGAAATCACCAAATTCTCGAAATCCTCAAATTATCAAATCCTGATACACTTGAAATCCTTTAAATACTCAAATCCTCTCAAACTTCAAATCCTCGAAATCCTCAAATCACCAAATTTTCCAACCTTTAATTTCTTGAAATTTTCGTTATTCTTAAAACCTCGAATTCGTCAAATCGTCGAAATTTTCAAATCTTTAAATCCTTGACATCCTCGAAATCCTCAAGTCATAGAAATACTTAAATCCGTTAAATCATTCCACCAACTCCTCAAATCCTCTAAATCCCTAAATCTTCAAATTTCCAATTTGCACATACTCCAAATCCTTAAATTGCCAATTCCTCAAATCCTCAAACCATAGAATTCCTCAAATTTTCGAAATTCTTAAAATACTTAAATCCTCGCAATCTTCAAATCCTCGAAATCCTCAAATCACCAAATTTTCAAACCTTCAACTTCTGGAAATCTTCGTCATTCTTCCATCCTCGAATTTTTCAGATCCTCGAAATCCTCAAATCCTCCAATCTTCAAATCCTCCAAGGCACGTAGTCCTAATATCACCAAATTCTCAAATCAGCGAAATCCTCATATCCTCTAAATCATATCACCAAATCCTCAAATCGTCGTATTCCCCAAATCTCCAAATCCTCGAGTCTTCAAATACTCCAAATCCCCAAATTGTTAAATCCTCAATTCATTAAAATCTTCAGATCCTCAAAATCGTTGAAATCTTCAAATCCTCTAAATTCTCATCACCGAAACCTCAAATCTTCAAATCCTCAAATCTTCAAATTTCCAAATCTTCAAATCCTCAAATCTTAAAATATTCAAATCCTCAAATCTTCTAATCCTCCAATCTTCCAATCCTCAAATCTTCAAATTCTCAAATTGACGAAGTCTTGAAATCACCAAATTCTGAATTCCTCAAATCTCCAAATTATTAAATCTTCAAATACTCCAAATCCCCAAATTGTCAAATCTTTAAAAGATAGAAATCCACAAAATCGTTGCAATCCTCAAATCTCCTAAATTCTCATATCACCAAAACTCAAATCTTCAAATTCTCAAATCTTTAAATCCTAAAATCCACGACGTCCTGAAATCACCAAATCCTCGAAATCATCAGGTTATCAAATCTGGAAGTCGCGAAATCCTCAAATCTTTGAAATTCTTAAATCCTCGAAATCCTTGAAATCTTCAAATCCTCAAATCTTCAAATCTTCGTAATCCTTAAATCCTCGAAATCCTCAAATTCTCGAAATCTTCAAATCCCCAAAATTTTCAAATTATCAGATCTTCAGATATTCAAATCCTCAAAATCCTCAAATCGTCGAAATTCTCGAATCCTCGAAATCCGACATCCTTAAACCATCGAAATACACAAATCTTCGAAATCCTTCACATCATCAAATCCCCACAATCGTCAAATCCTCGAAATTCTCATATCACCAAATCTTCAAATTTTCAAATCCTCGAAATTCTCAAATCCTCGAAATCGTAAAATCCTCTTTAAATTCTCAAGTCATAGAAGTACTCAAATCCTCACCAACTCTTCAAAAACTCGCATTCTACAAATCCTCTAAATCCTAAAATCTCCAAATCCTCAAATTCTCCAGTATTCAAATTGTCAAATCCTCAAATCATAGAAATCCCCAAATTCTCAAAATCGTTGAAATCCTCAAATCTTCTACATTATCATATCACCAAATCCTCAAATCTTCGAATCTTCAAACCTCAAACCTTCAAATCCTCCAATCCACGAATTTCTAAAATCAGCGAAATCCTGAAATTATCAAATCCTACAATCTAAATTTTTAAAACCTCGAAATCCTCAACTCTTCGAAATCTTTAAATTCCTGAAATCTTCAAATCAGAGAAATGTTCAATTGTTTAAAATCCTTGAAATGTTCAGTCCTCTAAATCCTCAAATCTTCAAATGCTCCAAATCCCCAAATTGTTAAACCTCAATTCATAGAAATCCTCAGATCCTCAAAATCGTTGAAATTCTAAAATCCTCTAAATTCTCATCACCGAATCCTCAAAACTTCAAATGTTCAAATTCTCAAATCTTCCAATCTTCAAATTTTCAAAGTCTCAAATTCAGGAAGTCTTGAAATCACCAAATCCTCGAAATTCTCAAATTAGTATTATCAGATCCTGAAATGTTTGAAATTCTGAAATCTTCCAAATTCTCAAATCTTTAATTCTTCATATATTCAAATGCTCCAAATCCCCAAATTGTCAAATCCGTAAATCATAGAAATCCTCAAGTCTTCAAAATCGTTGAAATCCGTAAATCTTTTAAATTCTCATGTCACCAAAACCTCAAATCGTCAAATCCTCAAATATTCAAATTTTCAAATCTTCAAATCCTCAAATCCACGACGTCCGAAAATCACGAAATTCTCGAAATCATCAAATTATCAAATCTTGAAGTCCTCGAAATTCTTAAGTCTACGAAATCCGAAATCCTTAAATTTTCGAAATCCACATATCCTCGAAATGCTTCAAATCCCCAAATCCTCGCAATCTCCAAATTCTCGAAATCCTAAAATCACCAAATTTTCAAGCCTTGGTATCTTCGTAATTTTTAAAACCTCGAAATCCTATAATCCTCGAAATATTCAAAACCACAAATTTTCAAATCTTCAGATCCTCGAAGTCCTGAAATCACCAAATCCTCGCAATTCTCAAATTATCAAATCTTCAAATATTCAAATCCCTGAAATCCCCAAATCGTCGAAATTCTCAAGTCCTCGGAATCCAAAATCCTTAAGCCCTCGAAATCCACAAACCCTCACAATTCTTGATATCATCAAATCCTCTAAATCCTCAACCACCAAATTTTCAAACTTCCAAATTCTCGAAATCTTCGTAATCCTTAAATCCTCGAAATCGTCAAATCCTAGAAATTTTCAAATCCTCACCAAATGCTGATATATAAAAGAATCTCCGAAATTACCAAATCGATTGTTGTCAAATTTTGTACGTATACTAGGACTATCGTCTAGATGGTAATCTGTCTAAATCAACATGTCAAAAATAAAAAATATAATAAAAAAAAATATAAGACAGAACATTCAAAGTTGAAAGTATTTTTGTTTTTTAGTTTGCCAGTACAGAAGTAATGAAAAATTTTATCATTGTGTCTTCTATTCCAGAGTTTTTTAAAAAGGTCTGGAACGACCGATAAAGGCAGAGAATACGAGGACGTGGTTCTTGCCAATTTTGTACTACTATTACTCAACGACCCATCAATCAAGGACTTCTATATTTCATCGAATGACGCTAATTTTGGCGCCTTCGACGACATAGTCATTCAAATTAAATCGGACAAGGGAGACAAAGTAAAAGCACTCCAGTTGAAACACAGCGAGAGAAAGATTTTATCAACTGAAAATTTACAATCCAAAAAGGGAGATTTTAGTATAACCAAGTACTTTCAAAGTTTTCTAGAAATAGAAGACGCGGCTGATGAGTACATTTTATACACGAATCGCCCTTTCAAGTACAAGGAGAGCGCAAAGTTTCAACTTGAAGGAGAAGAATTTTATATTGAAGTGGTTAGAGTTAAAAGTGGCTTGGAATTTTCCGGGACAACAAGTTGCGCCTACAAATTTCAAATTGTGGAAGATTCATCAAGTGCCGAAAATTTTTGCCACATTCAAGAATATAAAAAGTTTTTTGATAAATTCTACTTATACGCGGATCAAGACAATGTTGAAAAACTGAAAATTGCAGCAGCTAGAAAATTCACGACGACGTATTCTTCCGGCGAGGAAATTTTTGATAAATTCGTCAGAACAATATGTGAGTGGAACATGCAAAAAGGGAAAATTGAAAAACTTAACAGAAAGAGGATGCAGTGTTTAATTGCCTTGCATCTTCTGTCCTCTCAAATCGAGCCTTTATCTTTCGGTTCCGTTAGTGACAAAATGAAAATATTTAGAGAAGCTGTGTCCTTCTTTGATATCACACTATTTGACAAACAGTCGTGCAACACGATTAAACAACTATGGGGTGATGTTGGAAAAGAAACAAGAATTGACTTGAAAGAACTAAATAAAGTGAGAAAAAGGTATCTGCCTAATGTCAGACATATTGATGACAATAATATCGTCAACGTAGATCCGAAGGCACTTAGTCAACTGCTATGGTTGATGGACGAATGCCCTTTAATATTACGTGAACGTAGAAACGTTGAAAATGCTATCCATCTGTGTCCAGACAAAAAGTTCATCTTGGTTGACGGTAGTAAAAGTGACGAATGGATGAAAAAGTTCTCCGTGTTCCAAGACCTATCAAACTTGAATAAGAAACCCGATCTTCGAGAAAAAGTATTGGAGAATTTTACCGTTTCGCTACAAGGAAAAGAAGAACTTAATCTTGTTACAGCGTTTGGTGGCGAAATTTTAGAAAATGTCACAACTGATAATTTAGTAGAAATGCTAGACGGACCGTGTCGTCTAGGCGGAGAAAAAGAATCACTTCCTCAGCCTTACATTGAACGCTATCTGTCTCGGAATATTGTCAATAACACGTATTTAGAGAATGTCCACGAAAACACAATTATCATTTTAAGTTATGCGAATAACTTTGACAAAGTAAAAGATAAACTCGAGAAGTGTAAATTAATTGACATTGATGACTTTTTACATAAAAAATATCAGACTGTCGATGTAGCTAATCGAAAAAAAAATCACTATGACCAGTTGAATCTAGATAATAATGAAAATAAAAATAATCTTGATAAATCAAAGTTTGGCAACACGATCTACGCAGGTAACCGGCGTTATAACGACTCTGAACTTCAACTAATTTACAACGGAAAGAAAAATATCGAACAGTTTCACTATTTTCAAATTTTGAGTGATGGAAATTTGGAATTGATTCAAAGCAAAGGTGATGTTAGTGATTTTGAGGGTTATAAGTTACCTGATAAGTATGTTACGGAAGAAAGAGTGATGTGGTCTTCTCGGTTAGATAACTTCGGTCTAATTGCTGGCGATCCGGGAATGGGCAAATCTGAGTTAATGAAAAGCTTCAAAAATAAATGTCCACCCGAATTCTGGACAGTTATAATTAATCCCAAAGATGTTAATTTATTTTTTCACAATTTCAATTTTTCTAAGCCGGCAGATTATACAAATTTATTTGAAAACTTTATCACGAACGAAAACTGCCGGTCACTCAAAGAACTAGATCGAAAGTTTTTCGAAATGTGCATTAAGAAAAACAACGTGATTTTCGTGTGGGATGCGCTCGACGAGATTTTAAATAAAAATTTAGATGCCGTTTCAAACATAATTCTCGATTTTTCAACAAAAGGGTTCCGTCAGTGGGTTACTAGCAGGCGACATTTAAGGACAACTCTTGAAAAAAAGTTTAGTTTGTTGTCATTTAGCATAAATCGGTTTAGCGAACAAGAACAAGAAAATTATATCCGAAAACGACTAAAATCTTTTAATTCTCAGTATAACATTGACGTGACGGTCGAAAAAATCAAATCGTCTTTTGCGATTGTAGAACACGTAGATATACTAGGAATCCCGCTTCAAATATTCATGCTCACCGAACTGTTCCGTGAAGATAGCGAAAAATATTTGAGACTAATGGACAACACATTCGTCTTGACTGACCTTTATGAATATTTTATTCAGGAAAAATTTAATAAATTTTACAAAGACAAAATTGGATACGACTTTCAAAATCCCCAAATGGAAATTATAGTGGGTGAGAAAAAACGAAAAGCTTTGGATTATTATCAAAGTGCGTCTTTTAAAGTAGTATTTGACGAAGAAACTATGCAGCGACTAAATATTAATTACGAAAAATGTCTAAAAAAACTTGTAGGAAAGTATGCATCTGTGGGTCTTGTTAGCGACTTTGAAAATAATGTTCCACGTTTTCTTCACAGTTCTTTCGCTGAATATTTAGTGGCTAGATACTTTTCGAAAAATATTAATAATCTTAAAAACGAGATTATGGACATTCTGTTTGACGCTAGGTATAATAACGTACGTTTCTTTTTCGACATGCTGTTAGCTAAAAACTCAAAAGCTCACATTGCTGTATTGTATAAACGTTACGAGTTAGTTAAAACCTACGACGACGAAATTTTAACACGCAAAGATGAGGGTGGCAGAAGTCCTTTACATTTGATTTCGTCGTGGGGGCAAAGACACCCTCGTGTAAAAATGACGGTTATAAATGGGGACTACATTGTGCACGAAGATAAGAATTTCGTTAAAAAACCTGAAACCGAAGCATATTTTGAAACGATGACGTATTTGCAAGGGAAGAACGATAATGACGACCGTGACATATTGCTAAATGCGACTCCTTTGTCTTACGCCAGAAAAAGCGAAAGCGTAGGGGCGGAAATGCAGTTACTTCAAACAAAACTAAATGAGCTTAAACAATTATGCACTCGCGATGACGTAGCAAACATTGTATTTTATTCCGCCTTACTCGGTTACGACGACTTGTGTCAATTATTCACAGTTGACGAGTTAAATCACTATTGGTACGCATCAAAATTTTCCAGTGCTAAAGGTGCTGAAACGCCACTGCTATTGTCGTGTAAAATTGGTAATTTAAAATTGGTTGATTATTTTGTAAAATCTGGAGTCGAGATTAACCGCGTCAACGAAAACGGCTGCACACCACTTTACTTAGCTTCTCTCAACGGCCACGACACCGTTGTCAAATACTTAACAACAGTCGGGGGTGACTGCAATCGCGCTAATAATAACGGCGGGCTGCCACTGCACGTGGCTTCCTTCAACGGCCACGAAAGTGTTGTCAAATATTTAGTCACAGGTGGCGCTGAATTTAATCGAGTTGATAACTGGGGGTTCACACCACTTTACGTAGCTTCCCAAAGCGGCCACCTCTTGGTTGTCGAATACTTGGTAACAGTCGGTGCCGAAATCAATCGCGCTGCTGATGACGGTCGGACACCACTTTACATAGCTGCGTTCAACGGCCACGAGAAAGTTGTGGAATACTTGACTGCAGCCGGTGTCGAAATCAATCGTGCCACCAATAACGGTGTGACACCACTTTACGCAGCTTCCTTCAACGGCCACCGAAAGATTGTCGAATACTTAACCACAGTCGGGGCCGAAATCAATCGCGCTATGAATGACGGTTCAACACCACTTTGCACAGCATCGCGAAACGGCCACGAAAATGTTGTCAAATACTTGGCGACAGTCGGCGCCGAAATTAATCGCGTTGATGTAGAGGGTCTTACACCACTTTACGTAGCTTGCCAAAAGGGCCACGAAAATGTGGTCCAATACTTGGTGACAGTCGGGGCCGAAGTCAATCGTGCTAACAAGTTTGGTCGTACACCACTTTACACAGCTTCCTTCAACGGCCACCAGAAAGTTGTCGAATGCTTAACCACAGTCGGCGCCAAAATCAACTACGTTGATGTAGACGGTTCGACACCACTTTACGCAGCTTGCCAAAACGGTCACCGGAAAATTGTCGAGTACTTAATCACGGTCGGGGCCGACGTGCATTGCCCTCGTAATGACGGTGCAGTACCACTTCACGTAGCTTCCTACAAAGCTCATGAAAAAGTTGTCGAATACTTGATAACAGTTGGCGCCGAAATTAATCGAGCTGACAGCACCGATTATACACCACTTTTTATAGCTGCTTTCAACGGCCACGAAAATGTTGTCGAAATTTTAGCGAGAGCTGGGGCCGAAATCAATTGCACTGATAATTTGGGTCGGACACCACTTGAGGTAGCTTCTCAGAACGGTCACAAAAAAGTTGCCGAATATTTACGCAGGCTCGGCGCCGAAATCAGTAACTTTATTGACTAGAAACCAGTTGACAAATTGATATTTTCTTAAACTGTAGCACTTTATAAAGTTTAGTGTTTGGTTAAAATGTAATAAGTTATTAATGGATTAATTTACGGATCAAACCGGACTCTCTAAATATGGACATAATTGTGTTTTCTGTGTTATTAAATAAAAAGAACGCGATGCATGGTGCGTTTAGTATTTATCTAGCAATTTTCTGAATCCAATTGTAAGAAAATAACAACTCTACAACCAAGAAAAGAAGACAATCTCAGGTAAGTAAATTTTATACTGAGAAAATAAAAATTATAATTATTTTTCCAGATTTTTCCCGACGCACGTCTTCACGAAGGACAAGCATAAACATAAACAAGTACTAGGAATTAAGAATACAATGTTTCCGATTGATTATTATCTGCTTTAAATATATTATAATATAATTTAAAACGCCCTGGATAAAAGAAGAGGAAACTAAATAAATTTTCATTCTTCAATTAAGATTTTACCAACTATCACAAAAATCCCTGAAGTAACTAAACCATTTTTTTACTCAAAAATGGCACGAAAGGGGCAAATTACAAAAATAATACAAAAACTTTTTTCATAGCCACTTGTTTTTTAAATTTGAAGTTTTTACTTCCCGAGCGCAAGCAAAGGAAGTATTGTAATCGAGTCCGTCGGCCGACTCTCTACTTTTACGTTTTCTCGATCTTTCATGACCCCTAGAAGACGAAGAGAAATAGGTCTCCCATTTCCGTCTGTCTGTCCGTCTGTCCGTCTGTCCGTCTGTCCGTCTGTCCGTCCGTCTGTCTGTCCGTCTGCCGTCCCGGATTTTTATTAGACAGATAATCACCGAAAGTACTCGACCGATTGTTGTGAAATTTTGTACTTATATTAAGAATATCATGTAGATGGTAAAACGCTAACCAAAATTTGTCTAATTATCCCCACCACTAATGCGATGACGTCACTTCAAAATTGTACATAGTAAATGGGTTTTCAATTGTATAAAATAACATAGTCCTACACATGTAGTTTACAACTCTGAACTGACTTTTCGCCCGAAACGTCCAGATTTTTGGAAAAAAAATCAAAATTATAAAACAACATTTTGAAATTTCATTTTTAATCTGCTAACCAGAATGGTTTGAAATGTTGCAGATGTTTTAAGGCTATAAAGAGCATCATAAAACTTTAGTCAAAAAATATTTGCTTATCCCCTCCAAAAACTTGATGACGTCAGCTCAAAAGTTTGTGGAATAAATCATATCTAAAATGTACAAAATATGATGAGTCTGTACTTGTGAACTATCACTCCATTCATATTTTTTGGATTTGCATATACAGAGTGACTCAAAAAAATTAATGAATGCGTAAATATATTTTATTGATTTAATCAGGAACTACAAAACCGAATGCTCTAAAATCTTGCAGATGTTTTAAGGTCATAAAGAGCATAATAAATGTTTAGTCAAAATATATTTGCTTATCCCCTCCAAAAACTTGATGACGTCAGCTCGAAAGTTTGCCGAATAAATCATATCTAAAATGTACAAAATATGATGAGCCTGTACTTGTCATTTATCACTCCATTCATATTTTTTGGATTTGCATATACAGAGTGACTCAAAAAAATTAATGAATGCGTAAATATATTTTATTGATTTAATCAGGAACTACAAAACGGAATGCTCTGACATCTTGCACATGTTTTAAGGTTATAAAGAGCATAATAAATGTTTAGTCAAAATACATTTGCTTATCCCCTCCAAAAACTTGATGACGTCAGCTCGAAAATTTGCCGAATAAATCATATCTAAAATGTACAAAATATGATCAGTCTGTACTTGTGATCTATCACTCCATTCATATTTTTTGGATTTGCATATACAGGGTGATTCAAGAAAATAAATGAAAGCGCAAATTTATTTTACTGATTTACTCAGGAACTACAAAACCGAATGCTTCGAAATCTTGAAGATATTTTAAAATTATCATAAGCATGGTAAATTTTTGATCAAAACGTATTTGGTCGTCCCCCCTAAAAAATTTATGACGTCACCACAAAATTTTGCTGAATAAATCCTGTCTAAAATGTACAAAATATGGTGAGTCTCTTCTTGTGATTTATCATTCCATTCAAATTTTTTCGATTTGCATATACAGGGTGACTCAAAAAAATTAATGAATGCGTAAATTTATTTTATTGATTTAATCAGGAACTACAAAACCGAATGCTTTGAAATCTTGCAGATGTTTTAAGGCTATGAAGAGCATAATAAATTTTTAGTCAAAATATATTTGGTTATCTTCTACAAAAAACTAATGACGTCAGCTCAAAAGTTTGCCGAATAAATCGTATCTAAAATGTACAAAATATGATGAGTCTGTACTTGTGATTTATCATTCCATTCATATTTTTGGATTTGCATATGCAGGGTGACTCAAAAAAATTAATGAAGGCGTGAATTTATTTTATCGATTTAATCAGGAATTACAAAACCGAATGCTTTGAAACCTTGGGAATATTTTAAAGTTATTATAAGCATGGTAAACTTTTGTTCAAAATGTATTTGTTCATCCCTCCTAAAAAAATTGATGACGTCACCCTTAAATTTTGCTGAATAAATCCTATCTAAAATGCAAAAAATATGATGAGTTTGTACTTGTGATTTATCATTCCATTCATATTTTTTAGATTTTCTTAAGAGGTGGTTCAAAAAAATTAATGAAGTCAATTTATTTTATTGATTAAATTAAAGGCAACACTTATTATTAGTATTACACCCCAACCAACCCAATTTGGTAGACACAAAATTTGTTAAAAGAAAAACTCGGTTGAAACATAAGGGTAGCACGCTTATTTACATCGACTTTAACATTACAGACCTGCATTTGTTTTATGCGCTCACTTGGTTCCGCGAATGTGAAATAGACATGTTTATAATCAACCAATTGTGAATTTCATCGTCAAGAATTAAAATAAAACCCAATGTTTTATATAATAAGCGGAAGTCGAAGCAATAAAACCGATGGTCGTTTTGTTTACAGTTTCTCTGTTTGACTCTCACGTATGCTGTTACGCCTGTCATCTTAAATTAAGAATGTTTATACATAAACGATTTTCAGTTGCCCCTCATATTACTAGACAGCGGATTTCTGTCGGGCTACGTCACGATTATAGGGGGGGACGTGCTGGATCGTCGGGTGATAGATAATCACTGAATTTAATCGGTACTAATTCCATAAATATAATTAACGATTTATTAATCAAACGGCTAAGTAAATGAGAACGGGAATTAACAGCAGAGTGCAACGAAACAGCGTTATTCTAATCTCAAATAAACGAAGTGCAGTCTGCAACCGCAATGAATTCGCATCCCGTACGAGCCGTACCGAGTTTGGCCTTGCCTAGCCCGACAGAAATCCGCTCTCTAGATATTACACACCGGCGCCGTATACGTGAGTAAATTGTTTCGTTATTTTATTGATTATAAGAAATCAATATTCAAAACGACCCGATTCATTTCCCCGAAAATTTGAGAATATAATAATTTTATTCTTAGTATTACACTACATCTATCCCAACTGATATACGTGTCCTTGCAAAAATGTTGATGACGTCATCACAATTTTTTTTTAAATTCCCACTACAAAAATGTAATGAGAAAAAAAAACACAATAGGCATGCAGTCGTCAAGTTTCCGACAGCGAGGGAAGTACTGTCTAAACTCTTTAGACCAATTTTTTTTATATCGTTCGGCAGGTTATTATAAAGTTTACACGAATTAAAAAATAAACTTCTTTGGTATTTTGACGTAACATGTTTCTCAGGTAGAAGACATTCCCTGTTTCTGGTAAAATATGTATGAGTAGCACCACAGATTTGAAATTTTCCTCTATATTTAAAGGCAAAACATAATACCTTGCATATGTAAATATTAGCAACAGTAAGAATATTGTAAATCTTAAAGAATGGTCTGCAAGAATCCAATCTTTTCAGACCTGCGATGGTACGGATTGCCCATTTTTGTATTTTAAACACCCGATTAATTTCAAATTGAGATGATCTGTACCAATTCTCAATGCCATAGGCAAGTATCGAGTGGAAGTGACCAAAGTATAGAGTTATCAGGATATCCCTACTACAGTAATGCGAAGCACTTTTAAGCATATAACAAACCTTCGTTAGTTTACCACAAATATAGTCAATATGTGACGTCCACGACAATGTGTTGTCAACTACAACTCCCAGTAGTTTACTAGAATTAGACAATGAGATATTAAGAGAGTTTTCAAAACTACTATACCTTTTCCGAAATAACATCTGCGTTGTTTTGTCATTATTAATCGCAAGCCTATTTTTGTTACACCATAAAGTTATGCTTTGCAATAGTCCAGTTGAAATAGAAGCAACTTCTTGTAGACTGTTACCAGTTATCAAAAAATTTAAATCATCAGCATAATAGATTTGCAAAACATTAGGAAACTTTTGTAAATACAAATGAAGATCATTAGCATAGATAATAAATAAAGTAGGCCCGAGGATCGACCCTTGAGGCACTCCGCAATCTACACTTCTTGACGAGGATTGGTGGCATTATGAAACTGCACTTTTTGCGAACGATTGGATAAGTAAGAGGTACACCAATTTAGAGCAACCCCACGAATTCCATATCTATGAAGTTTTTCAATTAGTATTTGATGGTTCACACAATCGAAGGCTTTAGTGAAATCCACATACAAACCCATGGTTGTTAAATTTCTATCAAGTTGTTACGAGCCAAACTCACAGCTCGTTGCCGGCCTGCTAGTGGAGAAGGGGTGAGTTCCTGCGGGTGCAAAGGGTCAGGTCGCTAGAGGTTCGCAAAGAAGAGAGAGCACACTGTTTTGTGTAGCGACGTCGCCAGGGCGCCACCAGTTTTTATTAAGACACAATTACAACAACAAAAAACCGGAAAAATATTTAACTATTGTAATTGCAAGCTGTTACTTACAATATTTGATTATAATAAAACCTAAGGTCACTAATTAAAAAAAATAAGAGTGATAAATAACTAAATAAGTAAGCAAAAGGAAATGAGTAAGATATTAATGATAACGTTTTAATGCGACTAACGGTTTACGATAAATACGAGCAATACGAACGATAGTTTTATTACGAGAGGCGACGAACTAATTAACGATAAATACGAGCGATACGAACGATGTTTACGAAGCGAACAAATTAGTTGGAGTCGTAACGAATAACGATTTGATTAATTATTTCGAGGGCGATGAGATAAACGAAGTAGGCCACACGCTCGGTTGTCCTAACGAACGTACGAAGGTATCACCGTAGAGCGGAGCGTCACAGTCTTACCGGTTGTTATTACTAGGTTATGTGCGAGTGCTAGTTACACCAAACTTCGAAACGTTTTGCGATACGATAAAGAAAAGGTAAGGCGACTAATACTTAAACTTAATGAGATGGAATGGAAGTACCAGCGGCACCTGCCTCCTTCGATATCCACGACGAGATGTCGAAACACAGCGGCGTCGCAGCGAATTTCCAGTCGATGTCGAGTCGAGGTTTTTGGTGACGGCCTGTCCAACCGATGGTAACTCTCCAGCTGTTCTGGGAGGGCTCACAACTGCCCACGACAGTTGGAATTCATAGAATTCGTTCTCCCACTCAAAACTGGCTCCACTTCTCGATCACGGGAATAACAAGATCAGCGACAAAACAAAAAAAGCTGCAAGGAGAGCAAAGTCTGAGAAGATGTTCGAACTCAGTCAACCCCAAGGGTTCCACATGTCACATGCACTTGGTAAGTAGTAAAATATTATCGTTAACATGAAATTAACCATAACCACTGTTCGAAGGGATGCCAGGGAAAAGCTAATCAAAAGATTTACCTGCGGATCGACTGCAGCTTCTCCGATTTTAGCGAGATGGTCTAGTGCCCTTATCCAAAAATCCGACAAAGTCGTAGTGCTCGAATGCACTATTTCTCTTGCAGCTCACAAATGCGCTCAAAGCGATAGCACCTTTTAGGGGACCCAACAGATCCGACGAATGCGATTCCAAACGTAACGACGAGTAAAAGGTTGCTAAACTGAACTGCAAAAGAGGAAAGCACTAACCCCCAACACCATTCAACACGGAGTACCAAAGCAAAATGGATTCCCTTCCACCTGCGATGACGTGGCAAGGTAACGAAGCGAGAGTTCACGGAAGTTTGGCCCTCTAGTGGCAAACTTACGAAACGTCGAATTCCGACGAAAATCCCTAATCGATGTAACTAATGAGTGGATGCAACGGTTATTAACAAAAGAAAAAAAAACAAACAAGGCTATCAAGATTCCAGAAATGACGAAGACTCTAGGGGACGCTCCACGGCGTTTGTTCCCACCTAGGTAAGCAAATGAAATTCGCGAACAAAAATAACAAACAGAACGAAAATCGAATTTCAGAGTGAAGCTCTGGGATGGCGCGATCCATCCAGTTCCTTATAGCAAGAACCAAGCTGAAACGATCCAGAAGACCGATCTACAAACAGCGAGGCTGAAACACTCATCTGAGCCCCTCCAGGCTCAGAATCATCGCGACAGTCTTGCGACTGGGGGAGTCAAAAGCTCGGGACGAACCCTCCACCAAAGTTGTCCTTCATTGCCACCGTGCCCAACCCAACCACCCATGCACGAAATGACGAAACGAAAAAAAAACGAGTAAACAAAATGTAATCCGATCCGAGAATGCCAATAAAAACCGAAATAGCCACTGCGAATTTTCAATTCGTAACAAAGTGATAACTGAATGTTGTGAATGAATTGGCTGAGTGCAGTGTCTGTACTAAAGTTTTTTCTGAATCCATGCTGGCAATTGTGCAAGAGATTATATTTTTCTAAAAAGCCTGGGAGTCTATCATTTACAATGATTTCAAGAATTTTGCCAATGCATGGCAGGAGACTGATAGGGCGATAGTTTTCCACTGCATTACGGTCACCCTTCTTAAAAAGAGGAATAATTAGAGCATTCTGTAACGAATCAGGATAGATGCCCTTTAAGAAGGACAAAGTAAACATATAACTTAATGGGGTAGTTATAAATTCCGACACCGCCTTCAATAAATTATTGCAGATGCCATCTTCACCGGCTGACATTGAAGATTTCAATTTATTTATTGCACTACCAACATCACTATTCGTTACTGGTGCAAAAAAAACTATATAAATTTGGAGGAATGCTACTTCTGACAAAGTCAATATCTATGGTATTCGGTAAATTGGCAGTACAGTTGTGCGCCACACTAGCAAAGAAATTATTAAGTTTTTCGGCACTTTCCTTAACAGAACAAGTCACACCATTTTCAAAATTTTCAATATTAGAATCCTTAAAACTTTTATTCGTTATTTTATTTATAATTCTCCAAGTGGCCTTGTTTTTATTGTTTGCAGTCATAATCAGATTATCATTATAGGCCTTCCTCCTTGCTACTAACATATCTTGATATTGACTGTTAAGCAATGAAAAAATAGGTTTAAAGGTAGGATACTTCATGGATAGATTTGCATATAGTACCACACGATTTTTCCTTCTAATTATTTCATCCGTCACCCACAGATCTTGTTTATTTTTAATTGAATTAGATTTGATAGTTTTTAAAGGAAAAGCAGTTGAAAATGCATTGCTTGAAATATTGCATAACCGATTGAAACTTACATTCACATCCTCTTCCTTTAAGACAGTATCTCACTTTTGAGTTGATAAAAGTTTATGGAAATAAGTAACATTGTCGTTAGAGAAAATCCGCCTTTGAGTGAGGTCCACTTTGGCTTTTGATATATTTTCATCAATGTGAAATAGCAACATCTGACCAGAATGGTCAGATACGAAGTCGTTAAGTACTGAAAAGTGACAATTATGGACATCCTGAATACTCACACAGATGTTATCCAGACATGAACTACTGGAGGGGGTCACTCTTGTCGGTGCAGTAGACAGGGGCGTCATATTGTACACAGTTAAGATATCATGTAATTTTTTTGTTGCCTTGTTATTGCTATCATTGAAATGAATATTAAAATCACCAATGATTACTATATGTCTGTCTTTAAATTTAGAGAGGTGTGACAGTATCCAACTTATTCTATCAAAAAAGATGTTTAAATTCTGAAGGTTTGTTCCAGGAGGTCTGTAAATACCCACAATGTTTAAATGATAATTTGGAATTTCTACGGCACAACACTCTATCACATTGAAAACCGAAATATTTTTCACAAATATAAGTTCCTTATATTTAACAATTTTTTCACGAACAAATATAGCTACTCCTCCATGATCTACTGATTTATCCCCACAGAAATAACTACCTAACAAAAAATTACCCAATTTGAAATTTAAGATTCTTTGCTCGTCCATCCAATGTTCTGTTATGACTAATACATCGGTACTTTGATGATGATACTCTAGGCGTACAGCTTTGTTCCCCAGACTTTGAATATTTTGGTTAGCAATTTTTAAGGTAATGCTTCGAAACATGTTGTCATCGTGAGAGTTTTCAAGGCTGGTTTTAGGCAGATTCGTCTTGTAATGTTTGCCTGATGTTCTTTCTGTTGAATTTTTGGACTTCTGGGATGAAAAAACCTTGAGATTTGGACTCCATTTGGCCAGTAATCCGGATTGTAGATCTTTTCAAGATTATCAAAATTAACAGTAACCTTGAATCTTGAGTGAGACGCTTCATAGTTCTCCAGAGGTTCACAGACAATTTCTGGGAAGTCTTCCACCAAGTATCCTTTCAGATTGGCAGAAGTTGTACTCTTGGCAAGTTTTCTGATGTATAGATAGGCTTTGGCTGACGATGCCCTTATCGTCACAGAATCGCTTCTTTTACCAACGATCGGTTGTTTATTAAAAATATTGGTCTTCGCTAATGTCGTTGAAGCTTCCCTCTTTCTGTTATTAACCATACTTGTCTGTAATGAGTCACACTGGTTTTTTCTATTTTCGGGCTTACCGTTTTCCTCGTGAAACGTCTTAGGTGAAGTCGGATTTGGACTTTGTTTATTTACATTAGCTGTTAGTTGTTTGCTGTTTTTTCTTGGCTTCTTGTGTTTTGGGTTATCTCTACACAATTCCAAGCTAAAGTTCCTAAATATATATATGTATATATATTTAGGGACTTTGTTCCAAGCTATTCCAGGCAAATCTAAGCTATCAAGAAATAGTTGATATTGCCAGTTTCTGTAACTAAACTCAAATCCATAAGGTTGTAACCACTCCCTAGTGTAAATTTTAAAAAATTATTCAGTGTAAATCTGTCTTTTAGTTACCTGGTGACATATCTGGTGACCTGTCAATATAATGTCAGTTCATTCATGTATTCGCGATTATGATTACGTTCGACTTCACTGCAATTCTTGCACTCCTGCACAGGTTATTTCATAATTATCATTATAACTTGTCGCAATATTGTAAAAATTGATAAACAATTTTCAATAAAAACAGGATAACCTGAGTCTTCATGGTAATTATGATACATACAAGAGCAACGATAAATAGAAACGTGTTTTATCTTTCATCTGTAGAAAGAAGAATGCCACCTGCTGTAATTTAGACTTGCAGTCGATACGTTTACGAATTACGATAAAATGAACCCAAAAATATTGTGGTCACGAATGAAATCAATCAATGTACAACAATAACGAAAAATCAAAATTTTGTTAAATGAAATTAAAATTAATACATACCAAAAGATTGTATCATTTTTGCTTCGTTTCAGCTTAAACTTGATAGAACAAGCAATTTCTAGAGTGGAGTTTCAACCTGGTCTTAATTGAGTGTATAATTGGTTGCATATCTACATTTTTATTTTAATACAGATCACAATACAATTTTTTTAACAAAAGTCAAAAACTACAAAAATTGTATCGTTCCTTCAGCACCGTGTCCTAAAATTATGTTCGATTCTACAAACTGTCCCGTTTTTATGACCTAGTTTTCTAAAAAAAAATTTTTCGATCGATGTTTATTGCGATTTCTTTCATTTTTAAGAGACACCATGCCATCTTGACCAAAATAGAAGAACAATATGAGTTGCCATTTTTTGTGAAAGTTTTGTGAATAAAAAAAACAAACACATATTATTATTACCAGACGACGAAAATTTTAATCGTAACAACAGTATTTAAGTGTACATACATAGAAAATTTCACAACCAAAAATATCTTCAACACATACTAATTTTCTCAATCTATCACAGACTTCAAGAATTCAAAGCAAGTAGCGTTTAGAAGAAAGTTTCGAAAATCCGCTGCATCATGCTTTTTTTCCGATCTCCACCCTTACTCATTTCGGCCTCACCTTCTTCTAGAAAATCAGCAATCGCTTGGTGTCCACGCTGGGAAGCTATCTTCGACAAAGTCAAACCTGTCACGTCTTTTGCCCCGACAATATTCTTCCGGTGGTACCGTCCCAAAAAAAAATTGCTAAATGGTTCGCAGTAACCAAGCGCCGCCGAGTAATACAGGGTGCTCACCACATAACCAACACCATGTTTTAATTCCGAAAACCCCTTTCCTTGTCTCTCCATCACCATAAGTTCCTCCTTCAAACATTCACTGGCATGGGCGTACTCTAGAGCTGTCATCTTGAATATTTCGTCTTTTTGAGAAACGTCGCACTCTTGTAACAACAAAGCAACCATTTTGACGTATTCTTCTGATTCGGGTATCACAGTGATAGCTTTTGCCGCATTGACAGTGAAAGTTCCAGCGGTTTCTGTGATTTCTAGAGTAGGGTGTCGCTGGCCCCAGGAGCAGGCCAAATGCAAAGCAGTACGCCCTCCTCGGTCTAGGTAACTAATTTTTTGTCGAGTACTGTAGTCCAATAATAAGTCGACATTTTTCGATATTATGGCTAAGTGTGGCAAGCAATTTTCGGCTAATATATTGTCGAAGAAAATTCTCATAGTGGTGTATTTGGGTTGGAAGAATTTGTGCCTGATTTTCTCCACCAGGTGTAGATTTTTTGCAAAGTGAACGGCCGCGAAATACGCTGCAAACGAGTCGTGGTAGAACCTCGGTACTTGGTCTTGAATGCTTTCGATTATTCCAACAGAAAAAGCCATGTCAAAATTTTTCTCCAATTTGTCGTCGATCTTTTGGAAATCTTCGTTGAACAATACTTTCAGTGCTATTTTTTCGTAAGAATCTAGTATTGATTGCTTGACTTGCATTATCATTTTATCCATTAGGAATCTAGCCGAAGCAATGTTTATTTTGTCGGAGAAATATAAATTCAGCTTCTCGTTTACGAAAGACTCGTATAGGGTGTTGATGTTAAAATGTGACAGGTCTTTGTCTGCGTTGTCACGTAACACTTCCGTAAACATAAACAGCAGCAAAGGGAGCTTTAGAATGTCACTACATAGAAGCGAAAATCGAATCTTGGCTATTACTTTGTCAACCTCTTCTTCTGATCTAAAATATTCTAGACGCTTCCTTATATAGAGATGCTGGTCTTCCTGATTCAACTCCGTTAGACTCAGCGAAAGTACTTTAAACTTCGTTTCTAGAAACGTTTTTAAGTGGCTTCGACTCGTAACCGACTGTGCACGACTGGAACGACACAGTTGAAAAATCAGGTTTGTGACCATTTCCAAACCCTCGTTCGAAATTTCATCTAAGGCGTCCCAAACGTAAACCACGTTGTTTTGCTCAAAAAACAACCGAAAAAAATTTTTGCCGTTCTCATCCAGTCTTCTATATTTCACACTCACAAGGTAATGGTAAAAATCCCGTGTCAAATCTTTCTTGCTATCTTTAATCGATTTCAGAAATAGATAGACGTCTTCTGGGGTCAAAATAACAATCCAGAATTGACAAGGGCAATTGTCTTTAAAATTTTTGACCAAAGCCGTTTTTCCGCTTCCCGAGTCTCCGATTATCACGTTGACGGTATTTTCAAGTTGCATTGACCACAGTGTTGTTTCTTTAATTTCACGTGGTTTTAGTTTATACTTTTCCAAATTTCTAACATCACCTGTGCTTCGAATCAAAATTAGATTTTGGTCGTAAGTGACTCTAAAGTGATGACAATCTTTAACACAACTGCTACGAATTTTGTCAAAGTCGTTGACACTCACTGCGTTGTTGCTGAAGTATATGGTAGGACCCCCAACTGGTTGTTTCTCTTCATCTTCGTGCAAACTCATATCGACGTAGTTAAGATCTTCACGTTTTAATCTAGTTCTGATTTGTTCTTGATCTTCAACGCTATCAATGACGACGACAATATCGCCCATAGAATCTAGATAGGTCATGTCAATGACATCTTGCCACACATGTCTTGGTATGTAAGGTTCAGGAAGAACTTCTTCTACGTCTCCTATGTGGAGTGGTTCATCCATCATCGTCAACAAATCGTCTGTCTTTATCAGCCGCCAAAATTCCTCATTGTCTTCCCCCAACGCCCTCAACCCGACCTCTCTTTTCCCTTGCAAGAAACAAGTAAACCTAAATGTAAAATAATCGAAAATGCTAGTCGAAACCGTCTTTAAATCCCCCAAATTGCGAAAAATCGACCTACTTTCGAGAAAATTTTCTGAGTGTTCGTGAAATAACACAAACTTTTCACTTTTGCATAACTCAAGCGCTTTGTGGACAGTTTCGTCAAGGGTTACAATCAAGGGACATTTACCCATTAACCACAACAGCTCGCTCCACCCTTTCGAGTTCAAGTCGTTGATAGTACCACCTGAGCAAAGCTGGTACATTCTTATCAATTCCTGCGCTTCTCTTTCGTCTATCAAGCGACTTTGATATTCGTTCCATAGCATTTTCAACCTATGGTAGGACTGCCTGTCAAAAACCGTGATATCAAACGAGGAAATTGCCTCCCTCATGATCAGTTTTTTTTCTTTTTCGTGGAGGTCTTCATCCGTGTGGTCGAAACACAGCGGGTGCATTCTAGAAGACAAAATCTGGAGTGCTATTACCCGTTGGGCCCACTTTTTCGTCAACTTGTGTTTTCTCCCGGTTAGTAAGTTCCATTCGGCTATTGTCTTCAAGTAGTTGGAATATTCGGTTTCGTCAGCTGAGAAGGTTTTCTGGAACGTGTTGGCAGTGTTTACTTGTAGTTGTTTCGCGTTATTTTGACTAGCGTATAAGTAAAATCGTTCGAAAAACCTCTTGTATTCCCAAATTTTGTCCGATATGGTGTCAGTTTCGTCGACGACACTGAACTTGAAACAACACCCGGACTCACCCAGAATGCTGACTTCAGGACTAATTCTTGATATCTTGATAAAAAAATCTTCTCCGTCTAGACAAAATTCCGTGTTGTCTTCGATGTTCATTTTGCGGTTGGTGTAAAGTATGAACTTGTTCGCCAGTGTTTGTGTGCGTTGAAAAGACCGGAAAAATTCTTTTAGGCTGAAGTTGCCTTTTGGAACCTGTAGGTGCTTTAAACTCAACACATTTCTTTCTGAGTGGACTAGTTGTAAGGCAAACGTGGTCGTAATATCGTCGAGGGTTTCGGTTTCGACCACGACATCGTCAAACCTGTCAAACTTTTCGTCACCAGAAGACACAGAAAAATTCTTTAGGTTGGCATCGCTGACGAGACGTAACACCAAATTTGCAATTGTCAGTTTTTCGTATTCTGAGCCGTAATCCGTGGTCCCGGCTCTTTTCTTGTACATCTGAAAAAATTTTAATTAGTTTTTAACGAAATTAACAGATTTTTCATGTTTGATAATTTTATCCGGTGACGTCATCGAGTTTCGGGAGGGGATTAATTACGTTGTTTTCTAGTTGACACGACCTTCATTCTACTACGTAATTCATGACTAATTATAAGTGTGTTCTTACCGCTATCATTTTTTAAAACTAACGAAACATTGAATGCTCACAAATATTTTAATTTATGGAGAAAACCGTACAAATCGGTTGCACCACATACTGATAAATTTATTTTGTTGGAAACTTTACTGATACCACATTCTTATCTATGTAGTCATATACATTATCGAGCATCCGTAAAAGTGACCTTCAGTGTTACCAACTTGATTTCCTTCTCACTCGATTTACTTTATTGTTGTTTAATCTTGGTTTTAAATTATTTCCACAAATGTGGCGACGTTATCGGCTGATAAGCACGAGTTTGCGAAAGAATAACGGGAAAAATCGGAAAATCAAGAATTTTAAAAACCGAAAAATTTATCACAAAATTGAAAACTCTAAAATTTAAAAATTCGAAAAACTGAACAATCGAGATATTGAACAATAAAAAAATTTAAACATCGGAATGTCGATAAATCGAGAAATCAAAACATTTAAAAACTCGAAAAATCGAAATCCGAAACGACGAAAAATCGAAAAATTGGGTATTCGCAATTTCAAAAAACCAAAAAATCTAAAATTTAAAAAATCGAAAAGTTGAAAAATGTTGGAAATTGAAAATTCCCAAAATTGAAATGTTGAAAAATTGAGCAATCGAAAGCTTGGTAATTCCAAAAATCAAAAAATTGGGAAATTTTAAAAATCGAAAAATTTAAATATTAAAATACTTTAAAATCGGGAAAACAAAGCGAAATTGAAAAATCCGACAGCTAAAAAATAATAAAAAATCGAGGATTTGAACATTTCCCTAATTAAATTCTTCAAAAATTGAAAATTCGAAAGATCGAAAAATTGGAAAAAATCAAAAATTTTAAAAATAAAGTAATTGAAAAATCTACTTGACAATTTTTCTAATTTCAAGAAAAGAAAAATCGAGAAATGGAAACATTGAAAATTAAAGAAAATGGAGAAGTTGAAGAATGGAAAGATTGAAAAATCGAGAAATCGAAACATCAAATAAATAATCGAGAATTCTAAAATTTGAAAATTCAAAATATTGAAGAATCTCAAAATTGAAATATCTAAAAATTGATCATTGATGATTGATGAATTGAAAAACAGAAAAATTGAAAAATTCCAAAACTCAAACAGAAAAATTGAGAAATCGAGAAGCCGAAAAATCGAACATTTAAATAATCGAAAATTTGAAAAATCAAAAAACTGAAAAATTGGAAAAAGTCGATAAAATGGGAAATGGAAAAACCAGAAAAGTCGAAAAGATTCCAAACAATTAATTATCGGAAAATTCCCAATCGAGAACTTCAAGAATTGAAAAATCCCAAAACTAAAAATTATCCAAAAATTGAATAATCGTAAAACTTAAAATCGAGAATTTGAAAAGAGAATCAAAAAACTGAAAAATCGAAAATTCGAAAAACCGAGAAAGCTGAAAAAATTTAATCACTGAAAACTGAAACATGAAAATATCGAGAAATTAAAGAATTGGAATGCCCCAAAATCAAAAATTGAAAAATTTAAAAATTAAAAAAAAAGATAGAACGCAAAATTGAAGAATCGAAAAACGGAAAATTTTAAAAACCGAAAAATTGAAATATTTAAAAATTGATCATTGATAAATTGAAAAATTCCAAAACTGAAACATTGAAAAATCGAGAAGCCGAAAATCGATAACTTAAAAAATCAAAAAATTGAAACAACGGGAATTCTAGAAGTCGACAAATTCAGAAATGGGAAAAACAGAAAAGTCGAAAAATTGAAGATTTGAAATATTAAAATATCGGAAAATTCAGAAAACGAAAAAAAATCCAAAAATCGAAAAAAAATACGAAAATCGAAAATTTGAACCAACGAGAAGGTGAAGAATTAAAAAATCCCAAAACTGAAAATTATCAAAAAATCGAAAAATCGGGAATTTGAAATAAAGCATAATTGAAGAATAAAAAATCTGAAAAATTCCAAAGCTGAAATATCGGGAAATTGAAAAATCTAAAATTTAAAAAATTGGAAAATTAAAACATCGAATAATTGAAGGATTGAAGCAATGAAAGATCGATAAAAAAATTACGTGGATAAATCGAAATATCGGAAAATCAAAAACCTAAGAAATCGAAAAATCGAAAAATTGTAAAACCGAAAAATTGAAGAATTAAAAAACTGAAAAATTGAGAAATCGAAAATTCGAAAACCTAGGAACGCTAAAAATTGAAAAATTGAAAAATCGGAAACTTTTAAATTCGAAAAATTGAAAAATCGAAAAATTGAAAAATACGAGAACTGAAAAATTAAAAAAAAAACGAGAAATTGAAAAATTCCCACATTGAATTCTGCAAACATTGAAAAATCGAAACATCGAAAAATTGGAGAAACGAAAATTCGAAAAGCCGAGAAATCCAAAAAATTTAAACATCGAAAATCGAAACATGATAAGATGGAGAAATTAAGAAATTATCATAGCCCAAAATAGAAAAACCAAAAATTAAATAATTGAAAAATGAAAAAAAACTGAAAAATTTAAAAGCCGAAAAATTTAAAAATTTATAAATTGAGAAATCGAACAATTTAAAATTTAAAAAATCCAAAATATTAAAAATCGCAAAACTGAAATATCTAAAAATTGATCATTGAAGAATTGCAGAATCGAAAAATTGAAAAATTCCAAACCTGAAACATCGAACAGTTGAAAAGTCAAAAATTTTAAGTCGAAAATTTGAAAAATTCAAAAATCGAAAAATCGATAAATCTAGAAGTCGAGAAATTGAGAAATTGTAAAATCCCTAACCCAAAAATTACCCAAAAATTGAACAATCGAAAATTTGAAAATCGAGGATTTGAAAAATTGAGAAATAGGACAATTGAGAAATCAAAAAACTGTAATATCGAAAAATCGGGAAATCGAAAAATCTCCAAGTTGAATTCTCCAAAAATTGAAAAAGCGAAACATCGAAAAATTGGAAATCGATAATTCGAAAAACCGAGAAATTTAAAAAATTTAATCATCGAAAATCCAAACATGAAAAGATTGAGAAATTGAGGAATTGAAATAGCCCAAAATCAAAAATTGAAAAGTTGAAAAGTTAAAAAAATCAAAACGAAAAACTGAAAAATGGGAAAATTGAAAAATTTTAAAATGAACAAATTGAAAAATCTAAAATTTAAAAACAGGAAAAATTGACAAACAAGATCGAGAAATGGAAAAATTAAAATTAAAAAAATCGAAAAATGGGAAATCGAGAATTCGAAATATCAAAAAATGGAAAAATTTAAAATTTAAAATATCCAAAATATTGAAAAATCGCAAAACTGAAAATCTAGAAACTAATCACTGATGAACTAAAAACTCGAAAAATGGAAAAACGAAAATATAAAATATCGAAAAACTGAAAAATTTAAAAAAAGAAAAATTGAAAAATCGAGCAATCCAAATTTTGAAAAACGAAAAAATTGAAAAATCTAAAATTAAAAAATTGGCAAAATTTACGAGTAGAAGAATTGAAGAACTGAAAAATCGAGAAATGGAAAAATTCCAAACTTAAAAATAGAGAGATCCAAAAATCAAGAATTTACAAATCCGAAAAATTAGAGAATGGGAAGATTAAAAAATCGAAAAATCTAGGATCAAAAAAATCAAAGCATCGAAAAATCGCAGAACTGAAATATCTAAAAATTGATAATTGATGAATTGAAAATTCAAAAATTTGCAAAATCAAGAATTTGAAAAATCCAAAATCCCAAAAATCGGGTAATTGTAAAATTAAAAAGCTTAAAAATCAAAAATCTAGAAGTCGAGAAATCGGAAAATCAGAAAAGTCGAAAAATTGAAGATTCGGAATATTACAACATCGGAAATTGAAAAATTTCAACAATCGAGAAATTGAAGATTTGAAAAATCCCAAAACTAAAGTATCCAAAAATTGAAAATTCAAAAAATCGAAAAATCTAAAATTTTAAAAATTATAAAATTAACGAAAAATTGAGGAATTGAAAAAATGAAAAATGGAAAAATCGAAATTGATCTATGGATAAATCGAAGCATTGAAAAATCAAAAACCTATGGAAACGAAAGATTGAGGAATTAGAATATCTAAAACTTGAAGAGTTGAAAAACTGGGAAATTGAGAAGTCGAGAAATCGAGAAATGGAAAAATTGAAGAATCAAAAACCTGAAAAATTCCACAACTGAAATATCTAAAAATTGATCATTGATGAACTGAAAAATCGAAAAATTGAAAAATTCCAAAACTGAAACATTGGAAAATTGAGAAATCGAGAAATCGAGAAGCCGAAAAATTGAAAATTTCAAAAAATCGAAAGGTTGGAAAATCAAAAAATTGAAAAATCGGGAAAACTAGAGGTCAAGAAATTGAGAAAGGGAGAAATCAGAAAAATCGATTCGAAACATTAAAATATGGGAAAATTCAGAAATCGAAGAAAAAACAAAAATCGAGAAAATGGAGAACTGAAACATTCGAAAACTGAATAATTGAAAAATTGAAAATCGAGAATTTGAAAAATCCCAAATCTGAAATATCGAAAAATCGAGAAATCGAAAATTTAATAAATGGAAAATTTGAAAATTGGCAATTCGAAAAAGCGAAGAATTTGAAAACTGAATAACTGAGAAATTGAAAAGTCGAAGAATCGAAAATCGAAAAGTCGAGAAATTGAGAAATGGGAAAATCAAAAGATCGAAAACGTGGAAGCCCCAAAATTTGAAAAATTGATAAATCGAAAAATTGAAGAATCATAAAATTGAAATTGCAAAACGGAAATATCGAAAAATTGATAAATTGATAAATCGGAAACTGAAAAATTTCAACACTGAAATATTGAAAAATTGGGAAATCCAGAAATACAAATGTGGAAAAACGAAAATTTGAAAAATGGAAATATTGAAAAATCAAAAACTTAAGACATCGAGAAACTGAAAAATCCGAGAACTGAAAAATAAAAAAAACATCGAGAAATTGTAAAATTCCCAAATTGAATTTTCCAAAAATTGAAAACATCTAAAAAGATTTTAAAATAGCCCAAAATCGAAAAATAAAAAATTGAAAAATCGATAAAACGAAAAATTGAAACATCAAAAAACTGAAAAATTTTGAAAAAGAAAAATTGAAAAATCTAGAAATCAAAAATCTTATAAATGAAAACATAGGAAAACCTAAAATTAAAAAATTTAAAAAATGAATAGAAAAATTAAAGAATGGGGAGATTGAAAAATCGAGCAAACGAAACACCAAAAAAATCTAAAAATCTAAGATTAAAAAATCAAAGTATTGAAAAATCGCAAATCTTAAATATCTAAAAATTGATCATTGATGAATTGAAAAATCGAAAATTTGAAAAATCAAAAATCCGAGAAATCGGGTAATTGTAAAATTAAAAATCAGAAAAGTCGAAAATTTGAAGATTCGAAACATTAATATATCGCATAACTCAAAAATTGAAAAAAAATCTAGAAATCGAAAATTTCAACAATGGAAAGGTTGAAGAATTGAAGAATCCCAAAACTAAAGTATAAAAAAATTGAAAATTCCAAAAATCGACAAATCTAAAGTTTAAAAAGTTGAAAAATTAAAATATCGAAAAATTAAAGAATTGAAAAAATGAAAAATGGAAAAATCGAAATTGATCTATGGATTAATCGAAACATTGAAAAATCAAGAACCTAAGAAATCGAAAAATTCAAGAATTGGAATATCTAAAACTTGAAGAATTGAAAAACTGAGAAATTGAGAAGTCGAGAAATCGAGAAATGGGAAAATTGAAGAATCAAAAACCTGAAAAATTCCAAAACTGACATATCAACATATTGGTAAACTGATAAATCGAAAAATTCCAACAGTGAAACATTGAAAAATTGAGAAATCGAGAAATCGGAAAGTGGAAAACACACAGAACAGGGGACCTATTTTTTCGTACTCTAGGGGTTCAGCAAAAAAATGAAAATAAGGAAAAAGTAAATATCTCCAGTAATTATATTTTAGTTTTAGCACTGCAGCAGACGTACACTTGTCTTATAAGTATCAAGAGGGCTGATAATTCGATAAAAAAAAATCGACTACCGGAAATGGACCTGGTATTAATGCTAGCAACTGAAGAAATCAGCGATGTTCACTTACTGTCCTGATTGTTCATATAACAGGTCGATTCACAAGATTTTTTTATTCAAACTATAAATTAAGGTAAGTTTAAGCTCATTTTGATTTGGATTATTTTTTTATCATCCGAATAAATGTACAAATAAGTGTATTAAACCTACAGACATCATTTTATTTTGGTAAATCCTACTGATATTGCACTACATTCTTATCTATGTATTCATACACATAAACTAACCTTCAACGTTGCCAACATAACAAAATCGTACATTTCTGATCATGTGGAAAACGCATTAGTACAAATAGTTAACAAAGTGTCGACAACACTAGTTTCTACGTAATAAATAAAATCAAAAACTAAGACGGATGACGTCCGGATTAAAGATTTGATGTACAAAATCTAGGCTAGGTAGTTGTCTCTATAGATCTAAAATAAGAGAACTTATTTTAGTGCAATTTAACCTTATTGTCGAATTATCGCCTCATATTTGTTTACGTTATCGACTGATAAGTACGAGTTCGCATGAGAATTGTGCGACTCTTCATCACGTACTTATCTAATAATAAGTAATCGCTTGTTTGGGCGGAAATATTTCACTCTGTGTATTATTGTTATTGAAAACCATTTTGTCTGCGAAAAATGGAGCCGGTGAGTGAACATTTCTTACATGCTTGTCTCACTTATTAGGATTATGAATAATTAATATAATTAGGGGCCCAAAAATTTTTACACTGTCAAAATTTCGTTAGCAATTTTCACGCGTCAAAAGTGACACTGTTGACAGTTGTCGTTCTTGTCGAATTTGAGACACAAAGGGTGTATTATTTGTGAATTGGTAATTATGTGGAATAAATTCTGGAAGAGTAATTTGTTTGAAGGTGTGGTTAAGTGGAAAGATTCTTATCACTCGCGATTTCGTTATCTCAAATTATGTTGCTACTTAGCCTAAAGTGCTTGTAGTAACTATTTCGAATTTGGAAATCACAAACAAGGTGCAATTTTTTATTATTTTATTTAAATTTAAAAGTTAAAAATTTTAAAGACTATGAAAAAGACTGCTGTTAATATTTGGATGATATGGCTTTAACGCCTGGAAAGCAATGCTGCACAGCTTCCTCTACCTACTACTATTAGGCCAGAGCCGATAATTTTTGAGTACAAAAAAATTTAAAACAGGATGATACCCATTGGAAAAAGAAGAAAATATAACAGAAATAAAAGAAAAAATAATTTACGGGCGATCTGAGGTCGGGAAGTGGAAGAGGGTGAGCTTTTTAAGGGGACTCGCTAGAGGTATAACATTTTTTTGGTTTTTCGTATGAAAAAATGATATTAATATAGATGTATCATACATCAAACTGCAGGTTTTTTCATATTCTAGAGCGCAGAGACCAGTTCAATCAATTAAAAAAATATAGCTGAGAAATATCGTAAAAAAGCACCATTGTATGTTTTCTTTTCAAGTTTTTTGAGTCATAACCATCATAGAATCGCTTGAAAATTCGCACATGGATAAAACATCACTTTTTACAGGGCGCAGAGTCATTAAATGTTTGTTAGTGGTACAATTTGTTTAAATAATAATGTGTTTATTAAAATCAAAATATACCACAAATTAATGCAAAATACGTCGAATAATTTTAACAGGAATATCAGAGGAAAATTACTGATCTATTGGTTAGCAGAGTTTTTAACAAAAACTAACAATTATTTAAAAAAATGGGTATCAATTCGACAGAATTTGAGCAGTTAGTTCAGTACTTTGCCGATAGGAGCGCCACTAAAATTTACGGAAGCGGTTTTCCAGGTAAAACCCTTATTGCCTGCTCTACCATAAGCTGATTGTTAGAGTTCTCGGCTGATTTTTCTAATTTATGGCAAGGAACTCAGTTTTATAACAAGCCGCCAGGACCGGCCGTAGTAATCTATTGTTAAGGAAATTAACTTTTACGCAATGAGGTACTATCATAAAACCGAATTAAAACTGGGGAACTATAATATTTTTACTCCACTCAGGATCCTGAATTCAATACACATGATTACTAAACATTCATTGTAATATTGTTGTTAATATATATTTTGCTTTGTTAATTAATAAAACTAATAAACATATTTATAATAATAATAAAAAATATATAAAATACAGCTTTTGTTTAACACGTATAAGTAGCTAAGTGTATCTATTACTTATCCCAAAAAGGAGGTGTTTTAAAAAAGCCCTACGTCCAGTAACTTCTCCCTTCATTGTTTACTAGAAAAAGTGCTCGTATATGTTTTCATTTGCCAAGAGATCATTTTCAAAATATATTTATAGTAAAAATATGCAAGTCTTGGTGATGAAAAATGTACTCCTAATAAATTATTAAAGTACATAAAAAAATAGAAACAAATTTTATTTATTTTAAAAAAATCTCTCGCAAAGGCAGGTTCCTCTTTCTTCTTGAATCAATTATTTCGGGCAATAATGCGCCAAAGTAAAATCTGCCAAGTTTATCTGCCATCTTTTTACATATTTCTTGTTTTTTTTTTTCTATATTAATTCCTTTGGGTGTCCACACAACAAAATAAACTTGTGAAATACCCGTAACAAGCATTTGTCCCTGGACTTGAAAGTAGTAATCATGATTTTTTTTTAGTTTCAATTCTCTGTCTGTCAATGTACAAAATTTGATTATTTTTTTTCTATTCGCTTCTTCGGGAGACAAATCTTGCGATTTTGAAGGGCATTTAATTTCGACTAATGCACCCCCTTCCTCTAGAACCCTGTCTGGACTAGCAGCCAAGTAAGGAAATTGTTTTCAAATAAACAAGCCACACCGTTCAGTTTTTATATTTTTATTTATTTCAAAACACTTGACAGCTTTTTCCTCATTTTGTTGTCCATAGTATGTATGACTATTACCTCTAAATGTACTGTACAACAGAGACTCCACAGTTTTAGCTATTGCTGTAGTCGGTCTAAGTTTGTAAATACGTCCAAAATTTGAAGCCGTAACCCTAATTTCTCTTTCTTTTGCCCAAATGTGCCTGTTGCCTAGTGTCTATTTCAATTTGGTCTAAATTAAAAGATAATTTTCTCAAAAAAACCTCTTTGGCTGTCACAAATGTTTCTACATCCATGACAGGATTTTCTAAAAAATATTTAAACCATAATCGCAGTCGGGACCAGCATACGTAAATTTTTTTACGACATATTTTTTTACGAATACTTTGTCTAAGACGAGCTTGTTTTATAGACGAACAATATTTTTTTATTATTAAACCAGGACCGTTTTAATCACAATATATTTACTTATCCCCTCTAAAAAATCGATGACGTCACCTCAAAATTTTGCTGAATAAATCCTATCTAAATTGTATAAAATATGATGAGTCTCTTCTTGTGATTTATCATTCCATTCATGTTTTTTGGATTTGCATATACAGGATGACCCCAAAAATTAATGAACGCGCAAATTTATTTTATTGATTTAATCAGGAACTACAAAACCGAATGCTTTGAAATCAAATGTCAAAAAAAAAAATAATAGGCATGCAACTCTTTAGACTAATTTTTTTGATTTTCCCATTTTTCCATTTCTCAATTTTTCAATGTTTCAGTTTGGGATTTTTTCACTGTTTCGATTCTTTAATTTTCCTTCCATTTTTATGTTTTTCAATCTTTCAGCTTTGCAATTTTTCAAATTTTTGATATCGTGTTTTCTCGGTTTTTAAATTTTTCTATATTTTAATTTTTCAGTTTTTAAAGTTTTAGGTTTTTAGATTTCTCACTATCTCGACTTTTCGAATTTTCAGTTCCATGAGTTTTCAATTTGTCGAATTTTTAAATTTTAGATTTTTTGTTTTCTTTGATGTTTTGAGTTCTCGATCATTCGATTTTCTGAGTTTTCAGGCATATTAGATTTTTTTTGTTGTTCAATTCTTGGATTTTTAAAATTTTTGTTTTTTAAATTTTCCTATTTATCAACTTACTGGGATTTCAATGTTTTGATTTTTTGACTGTTCAATTTCTCGATTTTTTAAATTTTTGGTTTTTGATACGATTTTTTTTTTTTAATTTTCAGTTTTTCAATTTATTAACTTTACGATACTTCAGTTTTGCTCGATTTCGATTTCTCAATTTTTCGACATGTTACTGTTGGGATTTTTCAATTTATCGATTCTTCAATTTCTCGATTCTTCGTATTTTCGGTTTCTCGAATTTATTCATTTTTCGATTTCTCAATTTTCCGATATTTCAGTTTTACGATTTTTAAATTTTTTTATTTTTCAGTTTTCAATTTTTGACGTTTCTAAATTTTTCGATTTTTCAATTTTTCGATTAACTGATTTTTTGATTTTCCCATTTCTCTATTTCTCGATTTCTCGATTCTTTCTTCAATTGTGATTTTTCAATTTTTCGATTTCTGAATTTTTCAATGTTTGAGTTTTTCACTTTTCCGATTCTTCAATATTCTTTCCATTTTTCAGTTTTGAATTTTTTCACTTTTTCGATTTTTCAATTTTCCTTCCATTTTTCAGTTTTTCAGTATTTCAGTTCTGGGATTTTGCAATGTTTCGGTTCTTCAATTTTTCCATTTTTTGATGTTTCGATTTCCCGGTTTTTCAATTTTTCGATAGGTATTTTAATTTTTCAATTTTTAAGTTCTAGATTTTCCGTTAATTTTTTTGTTTTCTTTGATGTTTTGATTTCTCGATTATTCGATTTTTCAAGTTCTCGGTTTAAATTTTTTGGTTTTCCAATTCTTCGATTTTTAAATTGTTTAATTTTTGATTGTTCAATTTCTCGATTTATAGATTTTTCAATTTTTCGGTTTACCGATTTTTTTCATTTAAAATGTTTCAATTTTTATGACCCACGTCCGGTAGTCGTCTATCCCAGCGCGTCAGGTAAATTTAAAGAAGAATTGCTGGTTGCGTTTAAGGCAACAAATGGCGCCCAATTCAAACTTGTCTCTTGTCTAGCGTTCCCCCTTAAGGGTAGAAAACGGTTTATCACGATTTCCGGCAAAACTACAAGTCCTATCGAAAAAAGTTAAATGGCAAAGTTCTAGGTATAAAAGGATCTACAACTTTTGTATTTAGACTTTTTTTACATAACCTCAAAATTTTTGCGAAAAATGCAAATAACCGAGTTTTTGGTTTTTTATTTTACCTCCCACGCGAATTTTGGTGAAAACTTACCTATTTGTGTCCCAAACTTACTGTAATTTTTTTGATTCAAAATATTTATTTTTTTCCCCTTATTTTGATTTAATATCGAAAAAGCACCCTAATTTTCAATCGAAACTTCTCACATCAAAATGCTTGCTTTTTTAAAAAAATCGGTGTGCTTTTTGTTCGTTGAAATCTCTACTTTCTGATGGTGTAAAAAAAGTATAAAAAAATAACGGAAAAAAATTAATATTTTGAATACAAAAAATACAGAGAGTTTGGGACATAAATACCTAAGTTTTCACCAAATTTCGTGAACATTTTTTTTTTGTGGGAGATAAAAATAAAAAACCAAAAACTCGATTATTTGCATTTTTCACATACATTTGGAGTTATACAAAGAAAGTGTAAATACAAAAGTTGTAGATCTTCTTATTACCTACAACTTTGGCATTTAACTTTTTGCAATTAAGTAGTGATTTGTACAATCTGAATCATTTTAACAAAATGAAAGTTTCTTTGGCATGTAATTTAATAAATTTTTAAAATTTCAGTAACAAAAAATTATTTCTTAATAATTTACCTTCTCGGGGACACCAATGAAAAATCCTTTGAATTATACCTGAACGTGCTCGCTGCGCTCGCATTCTAAACGTTCTTTTTTTGGGCTTTGGCCTTAGAAATATTCACGAAAGAGTCTTATAGAAGTTATTTGGAGTCAAAAAAGGCACATTTTCAAGATTTACTTTTTTAGACACAAAAAAATTATCTCGTAAATAATTTAGCTTCTCAAGGACACACATAAATTCTTTTTTAAATTACACCTGAATGTGCTCGCTGCGCTCGCTTTTTAAACGATCTATTTTCGGAGTGTAGACTAGAAGTATTCTAGAACTAGTCTTTGCGACGTTGTTTGGACTCAGTTGTAACATTAAAGCTCTAATTTAAAAAAAACACACTTTTAGAATGAGAGCGTAGCGAGCAGGGTTAGGTAACTAGAAATTTTCCGTATTTAGTATACACAAACTTTTTTTTATTCAATACTAAAAATGCCCTCATTAATAATATTGTAGAATCCCAGATACATAGACGAATAATTTTAAATGACATCTAAATGTGCTCGCTTTGAAATATTTGGTGTGTCCCACTTTTTAATTTTTTTGTCAACTTTAAGAATAATGATATTTTTGACATTATGATCTTTTTTTATTTTTTTTTTCTTCATATTCTTGATAACTATGACTTGTTTGGTGTTTTGAACATTAGTGACATTTTTTATTTTTTTCTATAAATTATATTTCTGGCAGTCTGGATGTCTTTAAAGTATTGACATCGTTCACATTTCTACTATTTTTGCCACAGTCTAATCCTAGTAAGTAATAGCCCCACCCACCCGCCCTTTATTTTCTTAGAGGCTACGTCATTTGCCAAAATTAGTCTTATCTTAACAAGTAATAGCCCCGCCCACCCACCCTGTATTTTCTTAGGGTGTATGTCATTTGCCAAAATCAGTGTTATCTTAACAGGTACTTGCTTGTATACCCTCTAAGAAAAGAAAGGGTGGGTGGGTGGTGCTAGTAGCTGCTAAGATAAGACTGATTTTGGCAAATAACATACCTTCCAAGAAAAGAGAGGGTGGGTGGGCGGGGCTAATATCTGCCAAAATACACCAGAGAAAGACATTAAAGACTCCAAAGTACTTTCAAATTTTTTCCAAACAGGAATACCTAGAACATCAAGTTTGTTTTGAATTTTTCCAAAATATATCTAGGGACTCTACTAAAATCTATATCTATACTCTTCTCAAAGCTAGCAAGAGAATATCATGTCTGTGTTTCTTTCTAACTTGACATCGCTGTCAGGTTAGTTCAGATAAAGACTGTTTTGGAAAATGAAGAATAGCAACTAGGAACCACGATTAAAAACACTGAAGCAAAACCAAAAACGACTATGACACTTGACGAAAAAGTGACAAATTTTGAACAGAGACAATCAATTTTCAACTCAGGGGATTTTGTGAAATAGAGTAACAAAACTAACACTTAGGTACACTCACAAAAAGTAATTCATTATAACTCCTCACTGCACTTTTTGAAATTACTCATTACTTCAAGAGTAATTGAATTACAGTAATTAATTTCTTGTAATTCAATTACTTCCAACCACTGGTCTCTAGTATTACCCATCTATATTTATTTTCTTTTTGCATTTTCAGACTTACCGCAAACGAATAGGCACAACCAAGAAAATAGACACCGACGACGAAAACTGCGGCCACCAATACGAAAAATGGAACGTGCTTAACATAGTCTTAAACTTGTTAATAAACACCGAAATAAAAAACTTCTACATATCTCTAAACAACGACGACTTCACCGTCTGCAATTTCGACGACATCGTCATCGAAGTTCACGAAAATAATTGTCAAAACACGTACGCGCTCCAACTGAAATACCGAAACAAAAACGATTGTCTATCGGTCGACCAGTTTGGAAGAGCAGATGGAGATTACAGCATAATCAAACACCTCAGAGCATTCCAAAACCTAAAAACTCTCGTCAACGGGATCATTCTATACACTAATCAAAAAATTCAGAAAAACGATAAGAGCTCCTTTCAACTCAAGGACACCGATTTTTGCATCTCCGTCAACAAGATAAACAAGAAAGAATCCAACTATTTAACGAAGGTGCTAGGTAAACACACACTGTACAAATTTCGGATGATCGTCGACGACAATCAAGACATAATATCGGTTTTGCCGTACCGAAAATTCCTCGACAGTTTTTTCCTCCTGACTAAAAAAGAGGATTTGGACAAACTCAAAAAGTGCGTAAAGAGGATCTTTTCGGAAAAGTTTTGCGATAACGACAAGCAGTTTGACGAGTACGCCAAGATCATCATGGAGTGGTACAAAGAAACGGGCAACCAAGTACCCAAACTGTCCAAGAAGTGGATGCAACTTGCCCTCGCGTTGAACATCCTTTCGAACAAGATCCAGGATCTGGATTTTAACTATCGTAGTAAGATTATCAGCGATTTGAGTAATCCCAGTATTAGCGAAAATGAAAGACAAGTCCTTATTAGTTCGTTGCAGGACTACGAGAAGGACAACAGGAGGGAGAATTTACGTAAAGCGATTTCTCTTTTCACTATTAGCGTTTTCGAGGTTAATTCGTACTGCAAGCTGAAGCAACTGTGGTACGACGCTAGAAGCAAACTTTCGACTTACGAGTTTAACAAAATTATACACCACTATGGTATTAATTCGGATCATGTTTCTAATGTCAGTCAGATTGATTCGCGAACTGCGAGTCAGTTGTTGTGGTTGAAAGAAAACGACTGTCCGTTGATTGTGTTCGAGGATGAATCCGTCTACAAAGCGATTAGTTTGTGCCCTGACAAAAAATTTGTGTTACTTGGAAAGGGAAGTTTCAACGGAAACTTGAAAATATTTAGGAGTTTAGCAGATGTGACGATGGAAAAGAGCACCTATAACGGAATAACGAACAACTTTTTTTGTTCCATACAAGGAAAAAAAGAAGTAAGATTGGCTGATTTACCAAAGCAGAAAGATTGGGCGTACTTGAAGGCAATCAAAACGGACGACTTATTAAAAATGGTAGACACTCCATACTTAATTGGGGGTACTTTAGAGAAGTTCGCTCATGCGTATACCGAAAGATACCTATATCAGGATTCAGTCAGTCTGGAATTTTTGAACAATAATAGCAGTGACACTTTAATTATAGTCGACACGGACGGTGGTGACATCACACGATTACGATCTACACTAAAAAGTCATACTTTCGTTGACGTTAAAGACATTTATTGCGCCAAATCACCACCTCAAAGAAATGATTTTAGCAAAACAGTATTCTTCAGTGCTACGAAATGCACTTATTCGCAATTTCGCCAAATTCGCGGCAAAAACAGAGTCACAAATTGTCACCAATTCCGATTAGAAGACAATCAGTTAAAATGGATTCGAAGCATAGGCGGCCTGGTTGGCGATTTAAGACGTTATTTACAAAAAGCAGATTTCTACGAGACCGAAGAAAAAGCTTTATGGCTGAAGCCAGAAAACAACGTAAATATAATAATCGGGGACGCAAATGCCGGAAAAACACAACTGATGAAAAATTTTAAGAATCATTGTTTAAATGAATTTTGGACGGTTATTTTTTCTTTCGAAAAAATTAAGTCATTTTTAGAGTATTCAAGGACCAGTGGTGAGAAAACAAGTTTAAGCAAGTTGGATCGTTTCTTATTAGAGAACACATTTGGGTGTTTTAGCAACAGCGACACAATTTTTTTTGACTTGTTTTTGAAGGAGCACAACGTGATTTGTGTTTGGGACGGACTCGACAAACTTTTAGACGAAGAGTTAGAAAAGATCGTCAAGATAATAGATGATGTTTCTACCAAAAGAGTTCAATGGATTACGAGTCGAGGTCGTTTACGGGGGTATCTGGAAGATAGATTTAAAGTTTTTTCGTTAAAACTGCACGACGATCTCTCGACGTAGTCGTGTTTGTGAAGTCTTACGTGTGTAGTGATATATAGATGTTCAAATATATGTATAGTTAAAAATAACAGTTTTACTCTTTATTAATTTCTAAATCCAATAATTTATCCATTTTGTTCTTAATTGAACTCAAATGAATTAAATTTAAAAACGAAATAAACAATGAATAATGATGAAAGTTTGAAGATTTTAGTAGTTGATAGGACCAATTAATAAGAAGTCGCCCGAGAGTATAATTTAATATTTACAAAAATGTTTTAGTTTTGTTACTTGTTGCTGACGAATAATTTTTACAGGCAGAGTATATTTTCCCTGTTACCAGAAACCTATCTAAATATACAACCAGCAATACAATAAGTAATAGTTGGTTTCCAGCCGATTGCGTGTTCGGTTGACGTTACCAGCAGACAGTCAACGCTTTTAGTTGTGGACCAATACCGATAGATGGCGTAGGACCAACAGACGTCGCTGGACCAAATGCAGTGGCGTAACAAACATATTTGATTGGCATTCCTTAACTGTGCGATTAGCTTATCGCATTAAAAGTTAACGGACCGCTAAAGTTTTTTATCCTTAGTTTCAATTTTTGCAAACATTATTAAATATGATTTTTTTTTCACGAAGTTGGTATTTAACAGTTTTCCTGTATAAAACATATAAAAAAATGATTTCACTAATGCACTTGTTGAGGACGTACACATAATAATGATGCTGAAATAATTAACTGCGATTACAAGTTGTTTAGGAGTATAAAACTGCATTTTTTTAATAAATAAATTAAATTTCGATCATTTCGTATGTTTAGAAAAAATTTTAAATCACGACATGTTCAGAATTTTATTGTGAGTTGTAGCAACAAGGTAATTGTTTTTTTTTTTGGTACGTTTGTATGCGCTAAGACATTGATTCGATGGTACCTATTTTTGCAACACTCCCTTGCACAAACGTAGCAAAAAATTTGATCGAAGATTATTTCCACAGAACTTCCCTCACCCCTGAAGTACGATACAGTACAATAAATTCAAATTTTTTGAAAAATTCTAAGATTTGATGTTGCAAATTTAATTTTTTAAGATAACCATTATAAGTTAAAACAAAGACATATCTGTAATGTTAAACTAAAGGTAAAAAGGGCAGACAGACTGACGGACCGAGGAAAACAGGGACCTATTTTTGTTGAATTCTAGAGGTGATGAAACGTCGAGAAAAAATAAAACTACCTACAATATCCAGTCGTATTTCGTCCCGTGGATTCGATTACAATACTTCCTTAGCTTAAGTTTAAGAAGTAAAAATGCGAGGAGCCCTTGAATTTATTAAAAATGAGCCCGGCAATTTTTTGCTGGGCTCATCACATTTGGTGATCTGTAATTTTTTTTATAAAATTTGGTCCTATAAACAAATTATATTTTCAGCATCATTTTATGCAAACGTCCTCAGCGAATGCACCAGTGAAAGCATTGTCTAAACCTTTTAAAAGTGTTAACAAAAACGTGTTTTACTACATCTTCGCAAAAGAAGCTCAGCATTTAACAACTTCTGCAACAATGAAAATTAAGGGAAAAAGTTGACTCAATTTGTTTGAGCGATTACACCTCTACACTAATAAAAAAAAATTGTAAACTGTATGGTACTCAAAACAATCGAGACTCGGCACTCGCACGCAAATGTTTTGAGCCTATGGGCGGATCATTTTTGCCGGTCGTCACCGAGGAAGGCGGTTCAAACCCTTCAAGAGCAGAATTTGTAGGTAGGTTCAAACTACAATGAAATTTACGTGTTCACCAAATTCTTACTTTGAAATAGTTTTAATTTTATAAATACCCTATCTAAAATGTTCAGAATATGATATACTTGTGATTTACCATTCCATTTATATTTTTTGGATTTGTTTATACAGGGTGACTCAAAAAAAAGTCAGTTTATTGTTTATTTTATTGAAGAAACCAAGAATTGCAAAACTGAATACTTTGAAATCTTGTCAATTAGTTGGAAACTGAACCCAATTTTTTTTGCAATATCTGTGATGTGCTATTAGTTTCCGTAACTTATAAAATTAGAAAAAAAAACCTGTTCTGCTCTAATAAAATCGAGAAAATATTCAAAATCACCCTAATGTTAGGTCCGATTGTGCCGACCATAGTTATAAAATTCACATTAAAATAAGTCACGGATATTCTTTGAACTGTAGGTACTACATTTCAAATAACAAAAAAAAAATGTTCAATTTATAAACTTCATAATTTTGGTTTAAAATTTATCAGTCATGTTTGAAGCTTTATTTTATCCGTTCCGTTTGCTATCCTTTACTGCGGTCTCTCTTGGGTCGGGGTGTAACACCGACCGAACGTTCTTCGACCGATGGATAATTTATTGCTTCCGTCATCTTTTCGGTGACAAATTTCATCCTTGCATACGTCAGCCATGATTCAGCGTAGTTAGTGAACTCGTTATGACCACTGAAATATACAAAGATTAAATTCTGAAATGGAACGAAAGTCGAAGGATACTTTCAAAGCCACGATCAAAATGTATTTGCTTATCATCGCCAAAAAATGCATGACGTCATCACAAAATTTGATACGATGAGTCTGTGATTCACTAATTTATCATTCCAGTAATATTTTTTAGATTTACTTATACAGGCTGTCTCAAAAATTTAATGACTAAGTAAATTTATTTTATTGATTAAATCAGGAACTGCAAAACCAAATTTTGTAAGCATGGTAATTTTTTAATCAAAATGTATTTATTATTATTAAGACCCACCACTGACCCGGAAATGACCGGCATTCAGGCAAGACTTCTATCATTACGGGTACTAAGACCAAGTAATGATATGCATTGATTAGATTAACAGAACAACTTTCGAGATTCTAGAATTACAGCATACAAATTAGTCTGCTATTATTCTCTAATCTCACCCCATCCCCAAAAGTCCAGCGTAACTACCGACCATTTATCCATTTATTATTATTATTATTATTATTATTATTATTAATATTATTATATATACGTAAGTCAACGGGTGCAAGACCCAATTACAGACTTACAAAAGAAATGAGAATAAATGTAGTTATAATAGGTAATCAGTAGCTAAAATTACTACTTTATCCCATAGGGAACATTAACAAAAATATCAAAATCATTCTGACTCAGATTAAAAATATTGGTCATTTGATAAACAGGCGAGTACTTTTCGACATCTATACGCGGTGTAGGCAGATAGAAACAACGGTGGTCACGAGAAGAAAGTCTTGGACAATAGCAGAGCTGTTCAGTACTTCAAGTAAAAGTACTTGAAGTAATACTTCAAGTACTTTAAGTACTTCAAGTACTTTACTTGAAGTACTTTTATATTTAGGTACTTGGTACTTGGTACTTGGGAGTATTTCTAAAATGTACTTGAGTTTAGTACTTGATTTTGCCAAGTACTTTACTCCAAGTACTTCACTCAGTATTTTAAATACTCTTGAATTACTTGAAGTATGAAAGTAGAAATTTCAAATACTTTAGTCTCTATTTTACGAAGTTTTCACATCTCAAAATAGGGTCTGTTAAATACTTGAAGTTATTAATTCAATTATTTGATTAGATGTATTTTTATAGTAAAATCGTGTTTGTTTCCTATGAGGTTATATTTTGATCTGTGATTGTGGATATCTTATCCACAATATGACGTACATTTCATAGGTACTTGCATAATGGCGATAGATAGGTAGGTAAGAAAATTAATGTCATAAATATGTCATTTGAGAGTGGATGACGACAGCAGAAGGGTCGGAGATCTGTGTAAACTTTTCAGCGATGTAAAGTTGTGAATATATGAATTTTGTCTTTTTTGTATTTTGGTCTGGAACTTAACTTTGCGGGTAGTTTTTCAGTACCTTCCCGGTACCCCAAAGGGAATCGGGTTTGTTGACGTACCTGCTAAAGTGCAAGGTCGGATTTGAAAATATTTGAGAAATGATTCAGTACTCGTTCAAAAAAATATTTATTCCTTCATTAGTTTCTTAACCCCGCCGTGTATTTGTCAGTAAGAAGCCTCGTCAGGGCGAAGAACTCGGCAGGGGATTATCCCTTTTATTACAATAGCAATAGCTGATGGCAGGTACAGACTTTCATATTCGCCTCTTTCTCGTAGAATTTAAACACGATTTTATGTTAAATATTTTGGTGTTTAATTTTCTTTATCATGTTAGACACTCGTTTTTTACCAAATTCTCTTTTTTTGTTTATACATGGTTCAACCATATAAACTTAGTTTGTTATTACAACTTATATTTTCTCACATTACAGTTTCAAATAATCTGTTGAATTGTATGTATTATTTGAACACCAACAATTTAAAAAGACGTAATGCAGAAAAACAATGATTTTAAAAGTCACACTAATTAGTGTCATTTATCTTTCCTGTGCGGATTTTATTTATTACCGTACAACAACTTTACGTATTACATTGCATCGCTTATTACATAAACCCAATATTGTTCAAAATGAAATATGTTTTGTGCAACTCGGCTCGTAGTACCAATGTTTTTTATAATCCAGTTGATACGACCACGATTGTATGGTTTTGATGAGTACCGAATTGTACTTTGATATTGCTCGAAGGACCTTTGTTTTGTTGTGTGCGAAATAATAGACAGCGTTCGGTTTCGATGTTTAAATACAGGACGGTTACAGAAGTACTGAATTTACATTTGTATTTACAATATCAGGTAAAGAGACCCAAAAGGGTCAGTGGCCGCTTCCGGAAATGGAACAAAATACATATTCACATTATAAAAAAATATATACATTAATGAAATTCGCGATTAGTTAGTATAATTGCCTAGATAAATACACCCCTACGAAATATCTTAACAATAATAAATTTAGTACATATTACCTGAATTTTCGCAAAAGCCGTTGTTAGGCATTCCCTGAGGTCATTGTAGTTATCAGTTACTAATGTCATCTTCTTTGGGTTTCAGGTAAAAATTAAAAATAAACCAATCGAAAATGTAAAGGAAAATTCTGAAAGTATTGTGGCATTAGAGGAACAAAATTTTGTATAAATGGACGG